TACTGCCTTACAAGTGATAAGTTCTCTAGAATTTACAGCGCTTAATTATATCCAAGCATGGGAGCTACTTGAAAATCGTTATAATAACATTCGATTGTTAATTAATAATCACGTCAAATCATTATTTAATATTCCAAGCATTAAACAGGAATCACCATCACAAATTCGTAAATTAATAGACACAGTTTCTAGAAATTTACGCGCTCTAAAAACATTTAACGAGCCCACCGAGTATTGGGATACTTTGATAATCCATTTAATAATTTCGAAACTGGATACTAATAAGGAACGTGAATGGGAAACGCGGAGAGTTGATATTGGTAGTCGATTTAAAGGTGATTCTTCCGAGAAAATATGTTTAGAAGATTTATTTTCATTTCTACGCAATAAAGCAAACATGTTGGATATGATAAGCACTGTTCAGGCACACAAATCGCAAAATAAATCACTTCCTAACAATAATAAGCTAAACGAGTCGGTATCAGGTAATATTCATAGTTACGTTTCAACTAATAATGGCAATTGCAAACCTAAATGGAACACTAAAAAGAAGTTTCCTAAATGCTTAATATGTAGCCAGAATCATGCACTACACACTTGCGTTACTTTTTTAAATTTATTAGTTAAAGATGGGCTTAAATTCGTACAAGATAAAAACTTGTGTCGTAATTGCTTGCGTGCGGGGCATTCAGTAAACGACTGCTTATTCGGCCCTTGCAAACAGTGTCAACGCAAACATAATACTTTGTTACATTTTAATGTAGATGCGCGTGTGATAGACGAGCCGACTCCAGTCGACACACACACAACAGTGTCCACAGCTGAGTTGCACTCATTATCAGCTGAGACAACCGTGCAGCAAAAAAGTTTACTACAACCGGTTTTGCTGTCCACCGCTTTAGTCGAAATAGTAGATAGTAATAATTGTTTTCACACAATACGTGCTCTTCTCGATAATGGAAGCCAGCATTGTTTTGTTTCGGATAAGTTGTGTAAACGGTTAAATGCGCCTCTAATACAGTCCACTGTTCAAATCTCGGGTGTTGGAAAATTCATTTCACAATCGAGACATTCATGCGATGTATCTATCCGTTCAAAAATAAACGATTATAAAGTAAACTTAAATTGTTTCGTCTTGCCGTGTATTACGTCTAGTTTACCCTCGATGAACATTAAATTCGATATTAAACGTTATATTCCCAATAACATTCAAATTGCGGATCCTAATTTTAATGTACCCTCAGATATAGATTTATTATTAGGGGCCAATATTTTTTGGGATCTTTTAGATAATAATAAAATTCGTTTACCATGCGGGCCATATTTACAAGGTTCTAAATTCGGGTGGTTGATATCTGGTCCCATTTACACCAAGAACTTGCGCATTAATCAGGTTCAGTGTAATTTTAGTCAGAGCACAGCTCAAAAAAATTTTGGGAGTTAGAGGATATACCCACAGCTTCTCGCAACATTCTAAGTAATGACGAACGTGTGTGCGAGGAGTTATTTACAAAAACTACTAAACGTGAAAATAATGGTAGGTTTTCGGTTCGAATACCGCTAAGAGAATCAGCTGATACGCTCGGGGATTGTTATACGTCAGCGAAGAAACGATTTCTATTACTAGAACGTAAACTCGAACGAATACCTGATTATAAACGAATGTATAATGATTTCATGCGTGAATATATAAATATGGGTCATATGACTAGAATTTATTCGAGTAGTTCTCCTAACTTTTATCTTCCTCATCACGGAGTTTTTAAGGATAGCAGTTCTACAACAAAATTACGCGTAGTATTCGATGGAAGTGCTGTGACCAGCTCAAAAAAATCGTTGAATGATATTCAGTTTCCTGGTCCAGCATTACAAAATGACATATTTTCTATCTTGTTGCGATTTAGACAATATAAATACGTAGCATGTGCAGATGTAGAAAATATGTTTCGTCAAGTACTTGTTCAAGTAGACCAAAGGTCTTTGCAAGTTATACTCTGGCGAGAAAATCTTACGGAACCCTTAGCTACATACCAACTCAACACGGTGACGTACGGCACCGCCTCAGCGCCGTTCCTTAGTATGCGCTGCATTCGACAACTAGCAATAGAATGCAATGATGACGACATAACGCGCGTTATCATGCAAGATTTTTTTGTCGATGATTTAATAACAGGTGACGACAATTGTCAAAGTTTATTACAAACTTGTAACAAAATTTCAAAGGTATTACAGTCTGGTTGTTTTCCGTTGCGTAAATGGACCTTTAATTTTGGTGTAAAAGATAATGATAATACGGAAGAACATTTTATTGATAAATATACACAAAATAAAACGCTAGGCTTAGGCTGGCAAAATAATAGCGATAAAATCTTTTTTGACACAAAATTTAATAATGATTTTAAGTGAACTTATTTTGACTAAAATGAAAATGTTATCCATAGCTTCTCAAGTATACGATTCGTTAGGCCTGTTATCTCCAACAATTATTATATGCAAAATACTAATACAAAAATTGTGGCTAAGTACGAGTAAAATCGATTTGGATACTCCTGTGTTTGGATACTCATTAAAACTATTGAATGATTTGAATATACCACGACGAGTAACAAGTGATAACAATCAATATACGGAACTCCACATTTTTACCGACGCATCCTAAATCGCGTACGGTGCTTGTGCTTACATAGTGCACACATATGATGATAAGTCATCCATATGTGTGCACTTATTATGTGCCAAGAGTAAAGTCGCGCCTTTGAAAACGATTAGTTTACCCCGTCTCGAATTTTCCGGAGCATTAATAGGGGCAAAATTATATAAAAAAATTGTTGAGTCGCTTACATTAAAATTTACGAGTGTTTTCTTCTGGACAGACTCAACTATTGTTATGGGTTGGATTCGAACGTCTCCTCATCTACTTAAAACATTTGTACAAAACAGAGTTACAGAAATAAATGAACTAACGGGTGACTTAATATGGTTACACGTTAATGGTAAACATAATCCAGCTAACTTATTATCTAGAGGTCAGTATCTAGATTCATTAGTAAACTGCGATTTATGGTGGCACGGCCCATCATATCTACATTCTCATAATTCTGATTGGACGATTTATAATAATAAGGATATTTCGGATTTATATAATTTACCAGAAATAAAATCAAAAACAATAAATCTCGTTTGTGTGGAAAACAATTGCATTATTAATTTTGAACGATATTCTTCTTTTATTAAGTTAAAACGAATAGGTGCGTACATACTTCGTTTTATAAAAAACGCACAGATTAAGTCAGAGCGTAAACAACAGTCAGTCCCTCTTGACCGTTCCTTTTGATGAAAAATATCGATTGCATAAAAATATATTAAGTGTGTTTTAAAAATAAATCATTCACGTAACTACTACTTAAAAAAATAGTTCAAAATAATCTTTGTAAATTAGATCGAGCAATATTATGTCTAAAAATTTACAGAAATTATAATTTCACAGTCTATTCTTGGTATTAAAACTGACATTATTTAGCTAAAATGGAACGTATGATGTTAGGCGTCTTATGTTTGACATATTTTGATTTTGACATCATTTTGATTGCATTTGCTAGTTGCGACGTAAATTATTTCAGTGTAGCAAACTTAAGACAATATCGTCCCCGTAGAGCGAAAAGTCATTAAGTCTAAAAATGGCTAAAATGATTTATCAATGTCACTAAAATCAACATTTTGTTCGCTAAATATCTGTTTTACCGTCATTTTTGTAGCTGCCCACGCTTTTGTTTTACGAAATGTGAAAAGTAAGTAAGTCTACCCTTTGGATCTCAAAGCGTAATGGGAGAAATAACTAATTTAGTAAATTATTATACATTTACCGAAAATTTACATCACCCGAAATTAAAACGACTTAATTACTTTTTTTCTCGTATTATCAATTCATACATAAGATTTTAGATAGTCTAAAAGTCACTAAAATTATTTAGTAAGTTTTCAAAGTCAGTAGTTTACTAAAACACACAAAAGCGATAATTAACTAACTCGACTTAGTGACTATTCACTCTTTTTTTTAAATGATTTGTACGATACTACAAAAGCGAAAAATCATCAACCGTTATAATGTTTTATTTTACTTTAAAAATGGAACATAAGATCTATTGCGAATAATAATTAAAGTCTTTTAATTATTGTTTATACAACTTCGACGTAAATTGTTACAATTAAGGTACATTTCGCCCACGAGTTAGGCTGGTTTTATCGTTACGCGTTCCGGCAGCGCTGTTGGTGCGCGCGCGTTCGGATATGTATCGGCGTAGTAGTTGCGTTTCAAAGTCGCGCGCTTGAGCAGCGCCGTTCGGTAAACGCGCGTTGTTCACCGGCGCTGCCGAAGCGCGCGCCGCTCTGGCGCCTCTACATCCAGTCATGCCCTGGTAACTTAAAACATTTTTTATATATTATGAAAAGCGCCATCTACCCCGCATACATGAAACATTTTATTGCAGTGTTACCACTCTTTTTTTACTTGGACTACTTGGTACTTTACAACAATTGATGATTTTGCTATTTTTCTTTTGTTAGTCCAGGTACACAAAAATAAATGATTTAACAACTTAGTATAATTTGTTTTAAAAACATTTTATAATTTTTTGTATTATGTGCTAGCGATATTATAATTTATATAGTATTTATTACAGTTACGATCTTAGAATCTTTAGAGTAGTTTACAGATACCAAATGTTAGCAACACTGAGTCTAAACATCACTACGTCACAAGAATTTTTCCACCGGTGTGTTTGCATACTCGTGCGCATTTTTCTTGTAATTTTTGGTGTTTTTTGTGTTATTACGTTGAGTCGAGCTTCAGTTCCTCCGTATAATCCAGAAATACCGAAATTCCAGCATAGACTGTACTTTGTGAAAGTGTTTTGGACATACATGTTGATAGGCCCTCCGTAGGGAGTTTGGACCATATATCATTAGTGTAGTGACTGTAGTGTTATTTTACATTTTACACAATGCCTCGAAATATCTGCTGTGTTCCTGGGTGCCAAGTAGTATCAGAAGATGGTGAGTAAAGTGTGTTTTTATATTGTGAACCTTCATAACCTCAATCGTCTTTTAAACAAATATGTGTATTCTACGCTAGCTTATATCCCACGTGCCTAATACACCATATTGTCGGCGTAATATTTATATTAAACTGATTAATCTGTCTAACCATTAAAAAGCAGTAAATACAACTTTTCTATTTATTCATTAAGTCAAAGTTTCTAAAATATCATTGGTTTCTACAAGCTTTTTTAACATTTAGAAATCATAAATGCTACATGTAGGTTCTTATAATGATTTCTTATAATTACACGAACACTACACATTTAAATAAAACTAAACTAACTGTGAAATGTCAACCTCCTTAAACCTTTTGATAATAAATTACAAAGCACACGTTCAATTGCTACATAGTTTACTTCAACTCACGCTATTTTGAATTCTACTTAAATAGGCGAATGAAAGGTTTTGTCTAAGCGTCTTAGATGGCACTAGATGTCTTTTAACAACAGTAGTAAAGTTATGTCAAGAAAACTATTCTTAATAAAAGATATCTTTTTCGAATGTGTCATTCTTTAGTTCACGGTCAAGCATTAGTGCCTTTACCTTACATAGAGTTCACAAGAAGGTTTATATATATTTCATTTGTAAGTTCTTAGATTTTTGAAATGCAGGGTGAAATGAACTTTGAACTAAGTGATCTAGAAAAATAATTATGTTAATTATTTATCAATATCTTAATTTTTTAACTGTTATTAAATTACATTATTATGTATTGTAAAATAATGTAGAGTAACTTAGAAAGATTAAAAATCACATTTCAGTCAGGCCCATTATAGTCACTTTATTTTATTTTCAGGTGTACCTCTACATTACTTTCCATGTCCTGAGAAAGATGCAGAAAGGTTTCATAATTGGGTAAAGATTATTGGAGGTGGCATTGCGAGTCTGGACAACACCACTATCCGCAAAACTCATAGAATCTGTCGTCAGCACTTTCAGAAAGAGTTTCTTTACCCAAAAAACAGGCTTTGTAAATTGGCTGTTCCATCTTTGCTTTTACCCTCTGCAGGTGTATCAGGTAAATCAGTTTTTGATTAAGTTTATTTAATATTAGCAACTGCATTAGTTTCATACAGGTTATAAATGAATGTACAATAAAACATATATTTATTGTACATTCATTTATAACCTGTGTGAAACTAATGAATTAAATGAATTAACCAAAAACAATATAATATGTTTTTGCAATTTGTTTTAATTACAATATATTTAGTTAAAGGTATGTGGGACAAATTTTTGGTAGGCAACCCGGGAGTAATGTAGGTCATATAATCATTAAACATTCATATGAATTGAGTTTCATTAAAAAACAAATACTTGCAGAAATCAACAGTGGGATCTTAGATTATCAAGTATTCTGCAAACTAAAAGGATACACTAGAATATTATATTTTTGGAATATTGTAAAATACTAAATTTATTCTCTTTGCTTCTCAGCACCAAGCCCACCATCTACATCCCAAGGAGCTATATTGCATCATGATGTAATAAAACCCATAACAACTAGAACTATTGAATACTTCAAGACTTCTAGTTCAGGTATGTTAGCTATTGCTTTATGATCTTAAGCCGTAAGATTACTGATCAGAGTCTAACTACAAATACAAACCCTTTAATGTTTATTTATAGTCTACCATAATAAAGCCGATTTAAACTTGAAGACTTGAAATCCAAAGCCGACTTGAAGCTGACTGATTCACTTTTCAATGTACCTTCCATAAACAACATTCGGCACAAATAAAACTATATTTTTATATTTTCAGTACCCTTTTTGAGACGGAAGCATTTTGAAAATAAAGTTAAAAGATTAGAGCAAACACTTCGTCAAGTTCTTTCGCAAAAGATATCTGCTAGCAAAGAAAATAAGGAAAACAAATGCTTTTGAAATTGTGACCAAAAAGATGTCATCAGCAGCTAAATCTTTATTTTATATGCAAGTAAAGGGAAGTGGTAAAAAACCTAGAGGAAGGCGTTTTACTCTTAATGAAAAAATTTTAGCACTTTCGTTATATAAACCATCACCAAAAGCATACCGCTTGCTAAGCCAGCTTTGTGTTCTGCCAAGCCAAAGAACACTTCAAAATATTTTACAGAAAGTGGATTTAAAGCCTGGCATTAACGAAAAAATATTTGAACACTTAAAGAAAAAAGTGTCCAAAATGCCAGACAAACATAAATTTTGTTGCATACTGTTTGATGAAATGTCAATTGCTACTAACTTAAGTTATGACAGGGCACATGATAAAATAAATAGTTTTGTTGACAATGGCAGCAAAAGACAACCAATATTCGCTGACCATGTGCTTGTATTTATGGTGAGAGGCATAGTAAAAAAATATAAGCAGCCAATAGCCTATAGTTTTTGCTCAGGAACAACAAAGTCGTTAGATCTGAAATATCAATTAAAAAATATAATAGAAAAAGTCCGAAACACAGGTCTTAAAGTTGTAGCTACAGTGTGTGACCAAGGAGCCACAAACATCGCTGCAATAAATCATTTGATGGAAGAAACAAAAGGAAATTATTTAAGAAATCATGAGGATTATGAAGGTGGATTTTTTGAAGTGGGCAGTGTCAAAATTATGCCTATTTATGATCCACCTCATCTAATGAAGGGTGTACGTAACAATTTACTAAATAAAAATTTAAAATATGTCATGGATGGCAAGGTACGTGTGGCTAAATGGTGTCATATAGAAGATCTTTTTAAAAGAAGCCCTTCATTTTGGGGTGTAAAGTTGGCTCATAAACTGACAGCTCAACATGTGGTGCCCTCAATGATACCCAAAATGAGGGTTAAGTATTGCACACAAGTGTTCAGCACGTCTGTTGGTGTGACACTTGGATGTCTGGCAGGTATGTCTCACTTAACTTACAGTCCCTATCAATTTTGTAGTATAAAAACAGAAAATGCTACTTTTTCAGTGCAAAATTTTCAACAACTTTAACCCTTTGCCTGTCCAGTGCATTCCATGTAATTCATTGCCATTGTCTTACTATTGTGTCTGCAAACTGGACAGTGTTAAGATATCTGGTTATACATCACATATTATCATTGCAGTCATACATCACCTATTTATATAATAAAAAGTACCTATTTACTGTATTTTAGACTGCCAAATTAATGGAGACTTAATAATAATAATATGCCGTTGGACCCATAAATTTATATACCTATTATTCATATTTTTAAGAATGTAGTAATAAGATTATTTAAATTAATAAAAGAAATAATAATTTATAATTGTTATTTATGGGAAAATTGGGAAAATCCGTAAATATTATAATAAAAGAAACTGTATGTACCTACATTTTCTTTATAAAAACAAAATGGCATTATAGCCCACCGGTCAAACACTTGCTTTTCATGCAGGTTACGTGGGGAACAGACTTTGATTATTGATTACTTGTGTTAACAGTGCTGGAAAACATCGGGAGGAAACCTCCACACCTGAGAGGGCCTCATAAAGTTCTCAATTTGTGTGTAGTCCGTTAACCAACATGAGGCCAGCATGGTGGACTAAGGCTTAATCCTTTTACTTCTGAGAGGCCTGTGCCTAGCAGTGGGACCGTAATGATTTATTATTATCGATATCAGTAGGAGAAAAATGATTTGCATGATGTTTTATGAGACACATAATGTATACTTGGTGTGAAATGCCTCTAAACATTCTCCAGTAGTTTAAGATGCCCCAATAAAAAAAGCAAATACAATAATTAAATACTTATATATACTTAACATAAAACTTTCATTGAAATAATACTAATTTTTACGGAATTTATCGCGTATATTTAACTTTTTTTTACCCAACGTTTCGAGAGCTTTACAGCACCCATGGTCACGGGAAGGACTGAGATGTTCAACGTCCAGCTGTCATAGTTAACCGCGGTTACCATAGATTAAAATTTAACTTTTGTTCCGATCTACACAGTATGAACTTATGGTATCATGGAGTCTTGCAGTTGTATGCTTGGGTTGGGATTTAATTTTATTTATTATAGGATCCCAAGCAGATGGTAGCACCCAGCCATCTTCTCTATTGAAATTAGGATGTTTTTTGATTTCAATAGCCTCGCGAATCATCCTTGGAAGGAATCGGTGTTCTTTAGCGAGGATTTGTGGTCTATCAAATCTGATGTAGTGACGGGGGCGATCCTGTACATGTTCACAGACTGCAGACTTCGTACAGTGAACATGTACAGGATCGCCCCCCGTCACTACATCAGATTTGATAGACCACAAATCCTCGCTAAAGAACACTGATTCCTTCCAAGGATGATTCGCGAGGCTATTGAAATCAAAAAACATCCTAATTTCAATAGAGAAGATGGCTGGGTGCTACCATCTGCTTGGGATCCTATAATAAATAAAATTAAATCCCAACCCAAGCATACAACTGCAAGACTCCATGATACCATAAGTTCATACTGTGTAGATCGGAACAAAAGTTAAATTTTAATCTATGGTAACCGCGGTTAACTATGACAGCTGGACGTTGAACATCTCAGTCCTTCCCGTGACCATGGGTGCTGTAAAGCTCTCGAAACGTCGGGTAAAAAAAGTTAAATATACGCGATAAATTCCGTAAAAATTAGTATTATTTCAATGTGTAGTGTTCGCGTAAATATAAGAAATCATTATAAAACTTTCATTTCTAGAAAGTGGGTGCTTGCCAGAGGGAAGTGTGGACACTGCACATTTGATAATGCTGTTCGACAACCTGTTCGACTCCGTCAATGCGAATTATCATAAAGAAGAAGGGAAACTATACAGATCTGCAGTCACACCAAACTCACCCCATTTAAAATTTTGGAATAAAACATTACCCATTTTAAGGTCAATGAAATATATAAATAACAATGGCAAAGAGGTAACTGTACCATCTTTAACCAGTTGGGTAAAAACTATAGAAGGCTTTAAATTAATAACAAATAACTTAAGGGCAGAAGGAGTAAATTCATTATTATTACGTAATATAAACCAAGACCCTTTGGAAAACTTTTTCGGGGCAATAAGAGCTCATGGCTATAATAATGTAATGCCCAACTCGGCAGCTTTTGAAACCGCATTTAAAACTTTATTAATAAATAATATAACATCCCCACAATCCTTACAGGGAAATTGTGAAAAAGATGACAGTATATGTTTAAAATCATTAAAATCTTTAATATACCAAAATTGTAATGTGGAGGATGTTAATGACATAATGGAAATTATCGATGAACATTTAAATATTGATTTAATAAATACACAACTAATTCTAGAAAGCCGTTCTCGAGTTCATGTAGAGAAATGTGCGGCCATAGCTTATTGTAGTGGGTGGATAGCAACCAAAGCAAAAAAGTTTATATTTAAAAAATGTAAAACGTGCCAAAATAATTTAACATCAAATAATGAAGATTTCCACAATTTTATAATAAAATAGAATATTGTGGCAAAAGATGGTTATGCTATCCTACCCGATCATTGTTTGACTTTTTTGCACAAGTAGAACACATAACATGGAATATTTTAAACAAATATGCACATATAGAAAACATTGTTAAATATATAATGCTGATTATATCAGTCCACATTGAATTAAATTTTATGAAATGTGAAAAACATAAAGAAAATTTAAAGAAATATTTGGTCCATAAAAGTGTTGTGTTCTTCATAATTACTTGGTGCAAAGAAGTCAGCAATATACTTAATGGCAAGAGCTATTATAATTTATGTAATGATACTGGTGAAAATGTCTCCATTTTCCTACGGGCTCGAGAACATTTCAATAAAACAAAGGGTGCAAAACGAGAGGCAAAAAAGCATCGAAATTAATGTGTAATTAATAAATTAATTGAATTATATATTTTTGTATTATTAATCTCATTGAATCTCATTACCTTTACCCGAATACCCAAAGATACTTAAACTTGTGTCTAAAAACATCTCTAAAAATATGCTTACTTCAAAACACTGTTTAAGTATCTAAAACGAAATATAAATAATATGTGTAGGTACTTACGTATGAATTGCCGTTTTATTTATAGATAAAATATTCTATTCTATCTATAAATGAAACGGCAATTTATACGTAAGTACCTATACATATTGCCATATACGCAACTACGTATATATATATATATATATATATATATATATATATATATATATATATATATATTTTAGTTCATTGCTTAGCGTTAAGAGGGCGCTGAAAACGTCAGTTGCCAGTCTATCTCCAGTAATATATATTAGTCTATGCATCCAGTATGCGTTTTAGTGTAACGCCGTTGAGACGCGCCGTTAGGTACTGTGGTGTACAAAATTACATCGATACGAGACGAGTAATTGAGGAAGTGCGATTTAGAAGATGTTTATGGGACACAAAAAGGATCGTCGTAAAGAAAACTCTAACTTGCAAAGTAATTCGTCGAAACTGCTTGCTGATAGGCGAAAATATTTATAACATTTATAATTATTTCCTCGTTATTCGGAGAAAGACGTTACGTGTTCGCCTCTCAGTAACCTTGTAGCGTTATAAGGATCAATTACTCTTCTTCTAAATCGGTGTTGCCTTTTCCATAAAATGTAAATAGCCAGTACTCTAACCGCATTAACGTGAGACATTTTGTACACGACTGTCTCACGGCAGCGGAACGCGCGTTAAAAATCTCGTTTTATAGTGCACCGCTGTTCAAGCGCGCGCTGTTAACAGCACGCTGCCCAGCGGCGCGTCTAGCGGCGTGACGATAAAACCACCCTTAGTGAGTTTGTCGCGGCTACAGAACGAGCGCGGCGTGTGGCGATTCATTCGCGAAATCGAAGTCGACTGCCATAAGTATACACGTTTTTCGTTGTTGTTAAAATTACGTAAACAACTGCTAAATAATGCTAAGTTTATTATTGATTTATTGAATCAAAATGAAAAAACTGTTTTAAGAGGTAAGTGTGTTCAGTATATTTTTATTTAGTTTATAAGTATCTTTTAGATGTGTATCGTATTTTAAAAGTGTTTCACTTTTATTAATGTACGTTATTTACATATATAAATATTATAATAATGTTATTTTATAGGAATCTGCTGTCCCTATAAATTTCGTGAAGTGATGACTTTGATGAAAGTAATTATTACGATACGTATTATTTGGGTGTTGCTTACCTATTTATTTGACTCTTGGATTACTTGCCTTGTTGTGTAGTTTTTCTTCATGCTTGAGTTAAAAGAAATGAGTACACTCAAGTAGCTTCAGAAATTATTAATTAATTATTATTTTCTCGCACCCCTTAATAGAGGTGCTAGGTTATGTCACTAGGTGTACCTATTGTATTTATAAGGATGCTTTCTGGCATTTGTTTGTTTAGTCTAACATGTGGACATTATTTTATTATTTTTATAGTATCATTATTTATCATACCTAACGTTCTCCTAATTGTTTATTTCAGGAATCTAAGCTGCTCGACCAGAGGAAATTTGATCTGTTCCAAAACAATAATCTATATGAATCTGCTCCACCATCTGCGTCAATAGTAAGTCCAAAAAAGAGATCTACCAAGTATCAATCCACCATACTCCGCTCCTTTGTTGGCTGAAACCTACCATGATATTGTTTCCGTTGTGAATTTGATCAGAGAAGAAAATGTATCATGTAAAACACACCAAAACTACACCGAAATTAGAAAGTCTCTTGAAAGTCCACATTCAGAAATAAGCGGTATCGAAGAGTTGAGTTCTTCTCCTGTTCGAGTGTTTTCTGATTCGAGCGTTTCATGGTTTCCAGATAGTGAAGAGGATAGATGTTTCAAAAAGAAAAGACGAGTGTATGTTGCAAAATCTTCCAGTGAGAGCGATAGTGAAGAAAGTACATTTATTGCGTCGCGCTCGAAGACAGCAGATAGTCGGGGGCTTTTTAATGAATGTTTTCAGGATATAAACATTAACAATGACTTTCAATTAAGAAATAAACAATATGCCGTGCCTCAAAAATCTACTTTACCATCTTCCAACTCTGATTCATCTGGTAATGTCACTGTAGACAATCAAGAATTAACTAAACAGCCAGTTCCAATCGTTACTTCAAACAATAATATTGAACCTACGCGTTGGAAAAAAGCGATCCAAGCAAGTGGAAAAAAAAACATAGCTAAATCTAATAAACAAAAAGGTTTGCCTTATTTGGGTAAAAAGGGCTATCTCATGCCTGCAAAGAAACCTAAGCCCGTAAAGTGCTACGTAAAATGCCGGTATCAGTGCCAAAATCATTTTTCTGAGAATGAAAGACGAAAAATGTGTGAAGCCTACTGTAAAATTACAAATTTTAATGCACAAAAACAATTTTTACTTCAAAAAGTGGTGGCCTAGCCTATAAAAACAATGAAAGTTGATATCCCTGCTAAAAAAACCGGACTGCTACCTATTCTTATTATTTTAATAAAAATGATAATAAAATACGAGTCTGCAAAGATTTTTTTTCTAAAAACTCTAAGCATTTCAAATGGACCGGTAAATGAAGCATTGAAATATAGAGATGAGTTGGGTAACTATACAGGGAAGGATGGGCGTGGTTCTCGAGTCCCAGTAAACAAAACCAGCTTAGAGTTTGAACAGAAGATCATTGACAACATAAACTCTTTTCCCCGGCTCAAATCTCACTACTGCAGGAAGAAAAGTAAGCGACAGTACCTGGAGAGCAAACCGACAATCGCTAAAATGTACGAATTGTATAAAGAGCAACTAACAACATTAAATGAAGAACCATGTTGTTTTTACGTCTATAAAACAATATTTGTGTCTAAATTCAATTTGTCATTTTTTACTCCAAAAAAAGACTTATACATAACAAGCACTCGTTATGATAGTGCCGGACGTCCAAAACATTTGAAGGAGGAATATGATTCACATATTGCAAGAAAAAATTAAGCACAGCAAGCGAAAGAATCGGACAAACAGCGGTCTATTATTGATGACAATTACCTAGTTGTAACGGCAGATATGCAGTCTACTTTGCATATACCAGTCAGTGGTGTTGGTATTTCATATTGCACCAGAAAATTAAACGTACAGAATTATACAATTCACACGTCTAAACCACCTCATGAAGCATTTTGTATAACTTGGAATGAGATTAATGGTAAAAGGGGTAGTGTGGAAATTGCCAGTGTAATTAACTGGTGGATTAGTCAGATACCAACCAATATTAAAGAAATTACCATGTATAGCGACACGTGCGCTGGGTAAAATAGAAACCAATTTATCACGGCATTTTTGGTTCATTTGATTTAAAGGATGGATGGGCAGCTGGAAGTTATTGAGCAAAAATATTTAGAGAGTGGTCACTCATATGGAAGTGGACTCCATGCATAGTGCGGTAGAAAGACAGCAAAGACATACGCCTGTTTATTCCATGATTGACTGGAAGTTGATCATGGAACGTGCTCGCTCTAAAAGAAACAGGGATTCAGCACCACTTTATACAGTTATAGAATTAAAATACACGGAAATGGTTGATGTAAGAGCTCTTAATGAAAAATAGCAAAAAATACAAGCAGAGATAAAGCAGTCAATAAAATTACATGGCTAAAAATTAAGTGTCTTCGTTTCGAGAGAAAATGCCCGGGTCTTATTAAGTTTAGATATCAAAATGATGGTCCCTACCTAGAATTTAATATTTTAGAATGTCCGACAAAATCTACATTTATTACTAGAAAGAGGAGGAAACTAGAAGAACAAACGGAGGGACAAGGGACAGAAAAACTGATGCAAGTATTGAAAAATTATAAATTGCCACCAGCTTACTCCTCGCCGCTGCCTATTTCAGAGGCAAAAAAGAAAGACCTCAATAATTTATGTGCAAAGGGAATAATTCCACAAGAGCTCCACTTGTGGTATCAGTCTTTACCAACAAGTAAAGACGTAGTAGACAGAATTTTGGAGCCAGACGTCACTGAGGAGGGAGAAGAAGAAGTAGTCGACTGAAATCTATTTTTTAATAACTATGTTCTACTAGTTCAATCACTTTTCAGTTTGTGTGCATGAGGTTGTTGCACTTTTTGTTTTTATTTAACACTAATAGTATTTTGTTGATTTCGGCTGATATTTTAGAATAATTGCTTCAATAAATCTTGATTGAATTTATTACAATAGTTTCATTACTTAATCGTGTTATATTTAAGACAAAACTTAACATACAAGCTTCGAATATTCAGTTAAGTAGTATTTACAATACATATTTTGTACACCTAATAGTAGGTTCGACTTTACGTAAGTCTAGTTAATTATCTTCAAAATCATTTAGAACTGAGAGACAAGTCACTAAATGCGTTCGAAAATTAACTAATTCGCAACTAAATCATGGCTTTGATAGAAAACAATTAATTAGTTAAATGTTTTTAGCTTTTCTTAATTATTAGAGATTTTTCGCGTGTTTTATCTCTTATAGTATATTATTTATTTTATTTTCTTCAAATTAAAGCTAAAAACGTAAAGATATGTAAAGGCAAGCCAATGTTATAACGATTTTTATTTTCAAAAACTTTAACTCTCATTATCTCGAAACACGATTTTTCGACTTAATGACTTTTCGCTCTACGGGGACGATATTATCTCTTGTTATATATTAGTAATTACAGTAAAATGGATTCAGAAATCGTAAGTACTTATTGTTTTATATAATATGTTTCTAAGTTGCGCGCGCTTACTTTGTGACGCTTACTATTCCCGCCTTATTTGTAACATTGATGTTAATCGTTATAATTTTCTTTTACTAGGTAAAAGGCAAACCTCTTACAAAAGAAGAGACAAAGTCTTTGCTTGGACTAATAGAAGGTAGCAAAATAATAACCACCAAAACAACCAACGCTACAAACAACAAACTCAAAACGGAAGAGTGGATTCGTTTGGCAGAGGGGTTCAATGCCACAGCTACGAATTGTCCGAGAACACCACAGCAGTTGCGTTTGAAGTGGGAAAATTTAAAAAAGAACTCGCGCAAGCGCAGCACCCAAATAAGGATGAACCAAATTAAGGTTATCTACTTCTAACACATGTATATCTTTATTCATAGTCTAAGACTAAGACTTTTAATGGCATGTTGTAATAAATGTTAAATCTAATATTCTTATTGCAGACTCGTGGTGGTCCTGCCGATTATATACCTCCAGATGACATATTAGACCGGGTGACCAGTCTATTAGGAAGTACAGTCAGTGGGTTTACTGTGCCTTTTGGGGGGTGATAAGGAAATGGCTTGGTTTGATGTTTGTGGTGGTGCTGATGGTATAGTTGGAATAAGTGGTGATCTTGAAAAAATTGGAAATGTGACGGTGCAGACAGAACAAATAGTTGATACAAGTGAAACCACAATCTCAACACCATTATCTAATAAAAAAGGTATTGAGACTGTGGCCGCTGACTACCAAGTGTTGGATCTAGTTGACCAAAATTTAATAACTTCTAATAAAACCAAGAGGCTTACATTTGGTACACCTAGAGCAGGTAATGGTTGTTTTGTCGATTTTTGATTTATTACTGATTAATGTTTCTTGTTTTTTTACCTTCCATACTTTCTTTACATTTATGAAATACAATATTTATTAATCTAACCTTGTGGAGGATTATTTATGTAAGGCTTGTTTAATTGCGTCGATGCAAGCTACCACATCATTTAAATCACAGGGAAATCAGACTGTCAATCATAATCATTTGTGAAAGATCTTTTCTTTATGAGATTGACTCTTTGATGTTAATAGTTATAATCTCAGTAAAGTATCTTATCCTCCTTACTGAGTTGGATATACTTGCTTTTTCTTCACACTGTGATCTTATAGATGAGATGACAGAATTTTATGAATACTGATGTCTTTAAAATGGCTAAATACAAACAATATCCCATTATTGCATCCACAGTATTATTACATGTTAAGTTTTATGAAAAAAAAAGTAAGTGCACTTGTATTGATCTCACATTTGCTTTGTTTTACAGAGAAAAAGAAATTTAAGCCAGATGAGAACAGGACAGCCAGGAATACTGCTATAGCTGAATATTATTCAGCGAAAAAACAATGCTTGGATGCCAAGTTAAATAATATTAACTTAGAAAATGAATATTTAAAACTAAAAAATGTAGAACTTAAACTGAATAATGAAAAGCTAACGTTAGAGACTGAGAAATTAAAATTAGAATTAGAGAGATTAATCCTTAAAGGCTACTACGGTGTTTTTACACCCGAGTTACTTAATTTTGTACCTGTATCTTTTTTCAGTTTTAACGCAGCGCCTTGAGATTTCGTGTATTCTCGTATATCGACAGTAGCCCTCGAGGACGCGGGGAGAGTGATTGTGCGCGAGCGCCCGTCCCGAGATACACTCGTGACCCGGTGTTTTTTCACCCATTGTAGTCATAGTGGGTTACAACTTAGGTAATTAACTTTTTATGTTTTATTTTTAGTACGTGTGTACTAGTGTATAGAATATGATATTCGTGTGTGTATTATTATGTGTATTGTATTTATTATTTTTATTTGATGTGTTATTGAATTTAGATGTATATTATGATATTTTTATCTCAGATTATGCAGCAACTGAGGGGACAAGCAATATAAGATGCACTGCTGGCATCGGATGAAGAGTCGGCAGAAGAGGAGGGCTCTGTAGAAATGGATATTCATGAAGAAGATGCACAAAGTGTCGACGATGACACTACTTCTAATATATCAGAAGCTCAGTTGGAGATGGAAGTTGATGAGGCTCCTTCTCCACTGGATGGAAGACAAGTAAAATTAGGTAGTACACATTTTACTTGTATTGGAAACATTTTGTTGCCCCAAAAAAGAGTTTTGAAAGGCAAGGAAAAGCGAGGATACCCTACCTACAAATAGCCACCTAAGTACTACTACTAGAGTACTAAGCCACCGCCTCCTCATCGAACTCCTGGTAGGAATATAGTCCCATATTTACCAGAATCACCAGGTCCTGTGGGTATTGCCAAAGAAGTGACTACAGAACTGGATGCGTTTAAATTTTATTTCAATAAAAAATATTGATACTGTACTTGTTCATTCTAATCAGGAAATCGCTAAACAAAAAGCAAATTATGGCCCGCAAACTTCATATACAAAAGATGTTGACATCTCAGAGCTGAAAGCCTTTTTTGGCCTTTTGTATCTGACTGCAGTAAAGAAAGATAACAGAGTATCAACTTTTTTTATGGGGTATCTCTGGCAGTGAAATTTAGTCAGCCATCATGTCAAAAGAGCGTTACAAATTTCTAACCAATTGTTTACGGTTTGATGACCGTATGACCAGGGACATCAGAAAAAGTGCAGATGAATTCGCACATATCCGTGATATTTGGGAACTGTTTATGAAAAATTGCGCTGATCTGTATCATCCATCCGTAAATTGTACTATTGATGAACAACTTGTGGGTTTCAGAGGACGATTTAAATTTCGAATCTATATTCCTAGCAAACCAGATAAGTATGGTCTGAAACTGGTCCTCATGTGTGATTCTTATGATCGGTACGTGATATCTGGAATGCCCTATCTAGGAAAAGGGACGCCAAATGGAAGCAAACCTCTTGCAGAGTATTATGTTGAAAATTTGACAAAATCTGTTCATGGTACAAATATAAACATAACCTATGACAACTGGTTCACATCTGTACCTATGGCAAATAATATGCTGAATAAATACAAACTATCAACGGTTGGTACCACGCGCAAGAACAAAGTGGAGATACCGCAAGACACCATCCTAACGAAGAATCGTCCCATAGGAAGTTCAGTGTTTCTATACAATACACATGATAAACTTCAGCTCTCTACGTATTGTCCAAAAAAGAAATAAGATTGTGATACTTTTGTCGAATATGCACCATGAATCAGCAATATCAGAAACAAGCGGGAAGCCAGAGGTTATTGAATACTATAATTCTACTAAAGCAGGAGTGGATGCTGTTGATCAGATGTGTCATAGCTACAGTTGTTCGAGACGAACAATAAAGATGGCCCTTGGCTATTTTTTACAACATGTTGGATGTAGCAGGAATAAATTCTCACACGATTCTCAATAACAACAACAATAGGAATGGCAAAAGCAAGGAATCTCGAGCCAAATTCCTATACAAGTTGTCACTGGATCTAATGTTACCATACATAAAAGACAGACTCAAAATTCCAAACTTACGGCACAAGATTAGAGACAAAATCGAAAGTGTAATCAGTGAACACCGAAAGCTACACTCTCATAATCAAGGTACTCTGTCGGGTACCAGCATTCGAAGAGTTGATAATACAGAGTCCTTGAGAGATTCACGAATAGATAATGAAGAAGGTTCACAAGAAAGGGCCACGAAAGCTAAACAAGGCAGATGCGGAATTTGTAAACCGAAAGGAGATAAAAAGTTCACAGCTAAATGCTCGAATTGTTCAGTGTTTATTTGTAAACTACACCGTAGTTTGGTGTGCGTTAACTGTAGTAGTAATATTTTGTTAACCAAAGAATAACGCAATTTAGAAGTAATTGTTAATTTTCATTATTTTTGTTTATAACTAGTAAAAAGAAGGTTACATTATATTTATTTTGTGTTAAAAGCATTTAAAACAAAAATTATCTAGTTATCATTTTGATTTGAAAATTTCATATGTTTTTTTTAGATATAAGGATAAATAATATACCAAATTCAAGGCTTATTTATGATAATTAAAAAATATAAAACTGATTAAAAACTCGTACTAGTTTTCTTTTTTTTTTTTTTCAATTATTTTCAAACCCCTTCGAATTTACCATATTTTTGGGAAGATTTTTTGAACATGCAATTTAAATTGTTGTTATTTAAAAAAATAAACCTATAAATGAATAAATCCAAGAACATTTTACATAATTCGAGAATATTAAAAAAACAATAATATATTTATTCATACATATAATTTTCTGTAATAAATAAATCCGGGTGTTTTTACACCCATTGTAGTCTTAGCAGTATACAAATTCATTGTATTCTTTAAGGGTTAAGTAAGCAATAATGTCTAGTGTAGTATAATAACTTTAACACTTAATTAGTCTGCAGCTTAGTAGTAGTAGATTTGAATACATAAATTATTGTGTAATTGTATAAAATTTAGGAAACTTTGCATGTAAGTAGGTATTGTTTTCAGCTTATATGTGGTCTTATTGACCCAGTTGACGAAGCATTGTCTAAATGAAATAGTGATGAATAAAATTATTACCTATGAAACTAAATGGTTGTTTTCAACACCATTATATTATTGTTTATTTTTATAATTATTTTGAAGGAACCAATTTGACCCACTTTACAGTCTTTAATTTTTAAATAAAAAAAATTATCGGCATACAGTGAACGGCTATAGTGAATAACATTAAGTTCAAAACAAATAGTAAATTTTCAAGGATTAAATGTATTTTTAGACAATAATAAAATAATTAGAGTTGGTAGAAGACTGTGTAATTCTACTTTTTCCAATTTTGATAAAAAACATCCTATTTTAATATGTAGTAAGCATATCTATACAGTGTTATTGTGTAGGTACGAACACATGAGGCTGCTTCACGCGGGTCCACAGCTACTTTTAGCGACCATACGTGAGAGCTGGTGGCCATTAGGAGGTAAAAACCTCGTTCGAAAGAGGTTCGTGAGGGATCTGTGATTGCTTGGAGGTATAACTACTGGATCCTTGCTGCAGCCAGGAGTATTCCAGTCCTCATACTGGATCTGTGATTGCTTGCAGGTATAACTACTGGATCCTTGCTGCAGCCAGGAGTATTCCAGTATGAGGACTGGAATACTCCTGGCAACTACTACTGGATCCTGGAGCAAGGATCCAGTAGTTATACCTCCAAGCAATCACAGATCCCTCACACCACCCCGATCCCCAACATCTCATCTGAAAAAACCAATTGAAAACTTGAACTTCTTACAGAATTATCTTCATTTATTTTATAATTATTTACTTTTCATATAGTTAAAAATAAATATTTGTAAGTTAAAACTTTTTTATATAATAAGGGTGACAAACGAGCACACAGTCCACTAGATGGTAAGTTGATGCTGTGGCCTATATGAAACACAGCAGATTTTACGCTGGTATTCTGTGAGTGTGATCTTTCCCCGGTGGAGCCAACCTATTCGTGCTACAACCATGATATAACTGCAGCGTGGCTCTATCACGTATTAATTAATACTATAATATAGTAGATTAAATTAATAAAATATTAATAATTATTATTACTGATTATTATTTATTTAATTTTCAAATAACCAGGACTCATGCTGATACTACAAAAATTTATATTTTTTTTACAGGATAGGGTGACAAACGAGCATACAGTCCACCTAATGGTAAGTGGTTGCTGTGGCCCATAGACATCGACATCTATCCTCGATGACAAATCAAAATGCAGATGCGTTGTCACCCGTGAGGACTAAGATGTAATGCCCCGTTTCCAGTAAAAAGGGTCTCCGGTTCTCTACACTCACCATACAAAACACAGCAGCATTAAGCTCTTTCTCCGGTCAAGCCGAACCAATCGTGCTACAACTATACTACTAATGGGTATAACTGCAGCATGGCTCTACCACGTATAAAATATGTAATGTAAAATATGTAATGCTATATAAAGCTAAATGTGGCAACATGGGTCCTGGTTATTTGAAAATCAAAATAAATAATAATTACAAATAATTCATATCAGTCATTATATCTTTTATATATATGAGTTGCTTTTTGAGGTTAGTTGTTTTAGTTAAGGTTCCGTTGTCCTACTCCGAATTTCCCTAACTTCAGCTCACCGCTTTCTCTTGTGCCTAGTTTTGCGTTGAAGTCTCCCATCAACACCGTGTAGTGGGTTTTGGAGGAATGCATGGCTCTAGAAATATCCTCATACATTTCCTCCACCTCCTCATCGGGATGTGCCAAGGTTGTGGCGTAAACCTGTACGACCTTCAGCAAATACCGTTTGGTGATTCTATCGGGTACGCGACCCTCGTCGACACACTCCTAATCTGAACAACGTTGTTGATGAGAGAAGTCCGAAGAGTACAATCTGCCACTTAACCTGGCGTATGTGGACTATGAGAAAGCCTTTGATTCCGTCGAAATTTGGGCGGTGCTACAGTCTCTTCAGCGGTGCCAAGTTGACTGTCGGTATATCGAAGTGCTGAAGTGTTTGTACAGTAGAGCTACGATGGCTATCCGAGTACAGAACCGGAGTTCGATACCTATCCAACTACAGAGAGGTGTAAGACAGGGTGATGTTATATCCCCGAAACTCTTCACCGCTGCATTGGAAGACGTTTTCAAGCTACTGGACTGGAAAGGATACGGTATTAACATCAATGGCGAGCACATCACTCACCTTCGATTTGCCGACGATATAGTCCTTGTGGCAGAATCGCTGGAGGACCTTAGCACTATGCTCAATGACCTCAACCCAACAGATAAGTCTTAAGATCAACATGGACAAAACAAAGATCATGTTTAATGTCCATGTCACACCTATGCCGGTAGTTGTTGGGAGCACTATGCTCGAAGTTGTTGACGAGTACGTTTACCTGGGACAAATAGTCCGGCTAGGTAAGTCCAACTTCGACCGAGAGGTCAATCGACGGATTCAACTCGGCTGGGTAGCGTTCGGGAAATTACGACACATCTTCTCGTCAGCTATACCTTAAAACCTGAAAACTAAGTTGTACAACCAGTGCGTGTTACCAGTGATGACATATGGAACCGAGATGTGGTCCTTCACTGCTGGCCGTATGAAGACGCTTAAAGTCGCTCAGCGAGCTATGCTCGGAGTTTCTTTGCGTGATAAACTTAAAAATGAGGATATCCGCAGTAGAACCAGAGTGACCGACATAGCCCAACGGATTAGTAAGCTGAAGTGGCAATGGGCCGGCCATATAGCTCGAAGAACCGACAACCGTTGGGGAAAAAAGGTTCTCGAGTGGCAGCCTCGTACCGGTAGACGAAGTGTGGGGCGACCTCCCACTAGATGGAGTGACGACCTGGTAAGACATGCAAGAAGTCGATGGATGCAGGTGGCTCAGGACCGTGCTTTGTGGCATACCTTGGGGGAGGTCTATGTTCAGCAGTGGACTTGTAAAGAGTAATGATGATGATGATATATGAGTAGTTGAAGACTTACCAATAGCAGGAACTTCAGGTGGTACAATTATTATATCCTCTGTATTTGGCTCTGCAGGTATAAAAATAGTTTTGTTTACTTTTTCAGATTCTTCTACCTGCAAAATAATATAGGTTATTAGCCTTATTCTAGTTATTTACATTTATATACGAGGTGTGTTCAAAAAGTAAGGTGACTTTTTGAATTTCGCGGGCAACGCACATTCGATTTTCGATTTTTGTATTTTGTTGCGTTGGTACACATTTCCTGAGCATATGTTTCAAGTTTGAAGTGTATAGCATGTTTAGTTTATTTTTGACAGTTACAAAGGTCAGACGTACTTTGGTGTGCTCGGCGATTTTCTTCTATCAAAAAAAATGGATCAAAGAATTTGCATCAAATTTTGTGTAAAAAATGGAATTACGTGCTCCAAAACACTTGAAATGTTGACAGTGGCATACGGTGAGTCTACTCTTAGTAAAAAAACCGTTTATAAGTGGTACAAGCTCTTTCAAGATGGCCGAGAAGATGCCAATGACGAACCTCGCTCTGGACGCCCCAGCACGTCAACAACCGATGAAAACGTTGAAATAGTGAAGAAAATTGTTTTGGAAAATCGTCAAATCACTATCAGAGAAGTTGCGGAGGATGTTGGCATATCGGTTGGCTCTTGCCATGAAATTTTTTCGGATATTTTGGGCATGAAACGTGTGTCAGCGAAATTTGTTCCAAAATTGCTCAATTTCGACCAAAAGAACCGTCGCATGACAATCGCTCAAGAGCTATTGGATGATGTCAACAACGACCCAGATTTGCTCAAAAGGATCATAACAGATGACGAAACATGGGTATATGGTTATGACGTCGAAACTAAGACTCAATCGTCCCAGTGGAAGCACACTGAATCACCAACACCAAAAAAAGCACGCCAAGTTCGATCAAATGTGAAGGTTTTGCTTACAGTTTTCTTCGACTGTAGGGGTGTGGTGCATCATGAGTTCTTGCCACAAGGTCGTACGGTCAATAAGGAGTATTACCTTGAAGTTATGCGCCATTTGCGAGAAGCAATACGTAAGAAACGTCCCGAATTGTGGGTAAACAATTCATGGTTTTTGCATCACGATAATGCACCTGCTCACTCATCGATGCTTGTGAGAGGTTTTTTGACCAAAAACAACACTACAATCATGCCTCAGCCACCATATTCACCGGATTTGGCCCCATGTGACTTTTTCCTGTTCCCAAAACTGAAGAGACCTATGAAAGGACGAAGATTTGCAACGATAGAAGAGATAAAAACTGCATCGCTGAAAGAGCTGAAGTGATTATCAGAAATGCTTTGACGATTGGAAAAAGCGTTGGCACAAGTGTATTATATCTGAGGGGGATTACTTTGAAGGGGACAACATAAATATTGATGAATAAATAAATAGTTTTTCATAAAAATATTAAGTCACCTTACTTTTTGAACACACCTCATACATTAATTTCTGTATGTCATATTTTCATAGTGAAAGAATTCATCATGTTATTATGATATTAAATCGTAAAATTAAAGTTTTTGATTTCTAATAATGTTCTATTTATGTAAGTATGAAAGGTTTTCTAAACTAGAATGGTGATGATGAATATATATTCTAAAAGTCAGCAAGGTAATTCAGAATTGGGGTTCGTAACTTTTTATATGAGCGCCTTTTAGTTTGAAATTGATTTCATGATAAAAATTTAACAAACCGAGTTAAAACCAACTTCAGCTATGGCCATCTCAGTTGCTGCTTCGACACCCATTATCGACAGCACCCTATTCTCTAAATCTGTGACACATTTTTAAGGCAGGCCCGCCACCAGTACCATGAGCAGTTTTATTAATTTTGGCCCACTTCCTCTTCGTGTTGATTTTAAAATCACTTCACACCTTTAGCAAAGCAAATAAAACGATAATTAACTTAAAATTTTGACTACACAAAATCAGCCTTGCTTTTAAAACTCTATGTAGGTAAGCGCTCTTGATTTGTAATGAAGGTTTAGGAACAATGAAATTACGTAACGAACGTACTTTTCGCCACTTTTCTTCACTTCGAAACTCTACAATTCCTTGGCTGTTAAGCAAATCGCTTAACTCCTTCCACTTTCTAATACACCACAGTCGCCCTTGCGGTAAATTTTGAGGTTTAGATAAGTCACCATTCCTTAGAAATAAACATAATATTCATTACTTAAACAGTTGTAGCGGCGCAGTTACTTACTTTTCCATGAACTCTACCATTATTGTAAATTGTGTGGGGCTAGTTCTTGACGACATTGTAAAGAAATTTAGCCAAAATACTAAATACAAAAACTTTCTACGACAACACGAGCGCAGTCGCAAACTAGTATGAAGCACAATATGAAAATCTAGCGCGCCGCAAGAGTCAAGTGTTTAAACTTAATCTTAAAATGGCCGCATACCGGAGAACCGGAATTCCTAAGTCATCCGTTAATCGAATTCTAAAAAGAATGAAATATCATCCTTACCATATTCAAAAGGTCCAGACTCTCCTCTCTCGCGACTATGCGTCACGGGTACAATTTTGCCGAAGAATGTTGGAGTTTTATCGGGAAGAACTGAACTTTTTCAACAAAATTTTGTGGAGCGATGAATCCGCCTGCAGGTAGGACGGGTACATAAAGTTACCCAACCTGCATAGTTGGCAAACAGTCAACTCCCACGAAACAAGGCAAGATCCATTCGCAACACCAGTTTAAAATTAATTTGTGGACAGGTATTTAAGCTTTTTTTTAGTTGCGGAGCACAAGAAAACAAGTAAGAGAATTTTTTAGTTACTGCACCAGATTACAATTTTGAAGAAAATAATGTCGGCAGTTTACGCAGATGGCAACTCACACAGAAGCTTGTGCAGCACTTCTGGCGAAAATGGTCGCAAGAATATTTGACTACGTTGTGTCAAAGATATAAGTGGAATAAAGTCACGCAGGAACCTAAGTGTGGAGATGTTGTTTTGGTTAAGGAAGATGATCTCCCTCCATCCAAATGGTTATTAGGTATAATTGAAGAGAAGCACCCTGGTCCAGACCATATAACTAGAGTAGTTACTCTTAGATGTAAGAATGCTAAAATTAAGAGACCAGTGTCAAAGATATGTATTTTGCCTATAGCTCCTGAGTAGTGATAATTTAGTAGTTATTGTGTTATTTTTAGATGATTTTTTTTCTTAATAGATGAATGATCTTGCGATATTGTTGAGTTTTATGAGACAGCGTGTGGGCAAGACGTATACTTTAAAGTAAAAAAATGAATGAGTATGAAGTTGATTTTTTTAAATCACTGATTGAGGAGCGCCCTGTTCTTTGGGACACTAGTAACAGAGATTATAAAAATACATTCCTCAAACAAGAAGCTTGGAAGAACGTATGTAAAAGTTTATTTCCAAATTTCGAGGAAAAAGAAAACAATGAAAAAACTTGGTAAGTAGACAAATACATTTATTACAACTTCTTTTTACTTTTTACCTAAACTACCTACAAATCAAACATTCTATACATATAATCACAAAAATATTCTTTAAATTGTTTACAAATGTTTTCGCATCGACAGCGAGTCACTTTTTTTTCTTTGCGGTGTGATCCTTTTGTACCTGTTCTATTGATTTATTACTTCGGTTAGAAAGCGAGCAACATGCAAGCGGCATTGTATATTCTCAATTTTTTTGTAGTTGCCAGCTTAATGCACCAACTTCACTAGTAAAGTAATCCGAATATTCGTTTCTTATTATATTTGCACTTACTACCTGACATTCAAACGTTGGAATGGTAGTTGTTCGGAATCATCTATGACCATTTCAACAGGGGTTTCTAATCCATCACGGTTAAGTACAAAGTTATGTAATTTGCAACAAGCCTTGACAATGTCTATTGCAAAATCATATGAGACGTTAATGGGCCGGTGAAATATTCGCCACTTATTGGTCAGTATACCGAAAGTACACTCGACATATCTTCTTGCTCTACTCAAACGGTAGTTGAATACTCTTTGTTTAACGGACAAATGCTTGCCCGAATAAGTGCGCATGACATTATTCGAAATAGAAAAAGCTTCGTCCCCGACAAAAACAAATGGAACCGGTTCTTGAAAGCCCGGTAAAGGCCTCGATATTGGTGTAGGCAAATCACCTCTTATCAGTAAGTCGTACAGTTTTATGTTGTGGAAAATAGTGGAGTCGCTTCCCTTTCCATATGCTCCTATGTCCACATAGATGAATCTGTATTCCGAGTCAACAATAGCCAACAAAACTATTGAATTGTAGCCCTTGTAATTAAAAAAGTGATGCACTGTTGGACTACGAATACGAATATGTTTCCCATCAACGGCTCCAACACAGTTAGGTAAGTTTGCTTTCTTGTCAAAGCCTGCAGCAATTTCTTCAAGCAGCTGTTGCGTTATTTTTGGTGTGTTTGTATTTAAACAATGTTTCCATATTGCGCTACAAACTAATCACATTATCTTAGCAACTGTACTTACTCCTCAATAATAACTAAAATGTATATTTCTGATTTCATTTCTGGTTGCTAAGAATCTGTAACATAAATAAAAAAAATTGGATTAATTTATATAACAAACTTGAAAAGTAAACAATACTAACCTAAAACGACATAAACATACATATATCATAATAATATTCTTGGACTATTCACCCCGCCATCTAGCCACAAACTAAGCTAAGCTTGTACTATGAGTGCTAGATAACTGATAAATAATTTTTTGGTAAATAAATACATATTATATAAACACCCAGACTCAATACAAGTAGTTGAAAATATACTTTACAATTACTTGCATTGTATGGGGATTGAACCCACGAACTTCAGCATAAATTAAGATTTAAGATTAAGATTTTATTGCAGCTGTTAGATTTCCTATAAAATAAATAAAAAAATATTTTTTATATTTTTTTGCAGGTAATTCAGTAATACAAAGATGGAGAGGGATTAAGGATACCTTTAATAAGTATGAAAAGAAACTCAAAGATGCAAGTAGGTCAGGGTCTGGATCAAAAAATATTAAAGAATACCATCTATACACACAATTGCAATTTCTTAAGAAAAATTTACAAAATGAGACCACTACATATAAATGAAACAAAAAATGAGCAAGATAATCAAGAAGGTACATCTGAAAAACGTTACCAAAACCAGCCAACAAAAAGAAAGATGGTTAGTAATAATTTTGAAGATGATATTATAAAGATTTTAAAGGAACCGGAGAATAGACACATCTTTTTTTAAAGGTATTCTACCATCACTTGAAAGATTAGATGACAATAAAACACTAATCTTTTAAAGCAGAGTTCTTTAAATTTTAACAGAATTGCATCAACCTCATGGCGACTACTATCCGAATAGCAACTACCAGGGTGGCTATCAAACTCAACATTTTGGAACATCTCAACAAACGCCACTGGTACGTCCACAATCATCTAACATACCAGATCAAATTGATTTACCTAGTAATGATTTTTCTAACTCAAGCATATTAAGCACACTTTCAACGGAAGAAGAGTTTGATTTTTCGTAAATTTTATCGATTGTAATATTTGGAAAACTCTTTTCTCAATAAATACTAATGTGAACAATTATTGTTTTACTTTACTTACCGGATAGTGAGGCCAATCATTTCCAGAGGCATAACAGGAATTCTCCCCTTGTACGATCGTTTCTGAAGATATGGTGATAATAAACTTAAAAGCTCTTCAAATGAAGATATGCTCATTCTAAAATAATCAAAAAAAATTTTTCGTCGGTTTTCAAAGCTTCATATTTTGGATGAAAATAGTTCCCATCGGCATTCATAATAGTAATAAATGGATGAACCCAAAATCTTCTTTGTTTCTTTTTCCTGTATCTCCTTAGCAATAACAAAAGGGCACACTTCTTTTTACGATCCATGTCACGAGCTAGTTTTCAAAATACGTTCAGTACGGTTGACGGTCGTCGAAGGAATGGTCACCCTAATCGTGGAAGGAAGATGCCTTGCCGCACGAAATTGCATCGCAGCAATTCGTGTCGCAATTTTCTGCGTTGCGGATTCGCATCGCCTCGCATCGCATTATTGTGTATAAGCCCTAACGGTCCTATCTAGTTCCAGCACATAGTTAAATAAAAAAACACCTAGTACGATGTTTTCTTATCAATGTTATGTTTGATTTTAGTTACCAGATCAAGAACTTGAACTTCTGAGTCCGTAAATAGAGATCTTGGTTCAGGCATATTCAAACGGCCTTCCCAAAAACTTGACTCTTTAAATATTGATGAATTGCATTCTTTCCATAGGCACCTACACTGACGTAAAGGAATCGATAATCTGAATCTACGACTGCTAATAACACTATTGAAAAGAAATCTTTGTAGTAAATGTATATATACTGTACCCTTTGTATATATACTGTACCCTTATTTGATGGCTTTCGAAGACGAATATGCTTCCCGTCTACTGCTCCAAGGCAGTGAGGGAAATTGGGCCTTTTTACACTCTTCTTCCTTATTAGGAAGAGGCATAAATTCTTCATATAAATTATTCCATATACTTTGCGTTACTTTTTCTTTATTTTTCTTTCCTCTGGTTCTGGTGCAACATCTAGACTCTACAAATATGATTAAGAGTTGAGCTTTTTAAAGCCAATTATTAAACCAGGTGATACACATAACAATAATCTATATACAAGAGACGAAGTCCTAGGAGAAAATGACGATCAACAAGCAAATCAGAAAGAAACACGCTTAGAATTATCATCAAAAAAGAAAAAAGTGGATAGTGATAGCGAATTGGATGATAAAATAATGAAACTTGTTGATCATCAATTAAACACAATTAGAAGTGATGTGAAATCGCCTCATTCGCGAGGCAGTTGCCTATGCAGCCCCTCTTCGCACTCACTATAGTGTCCGTAGGCCTAGAAACTCTCTCTCGGACCCCCCTTTTCGGTTGACTTGAACTGCCTCCTGGCGGCTCAGGCTGAGCCTACTTAACTCATCTCATAATCTGCCTTAGTTAGACACACTTCTTAGCGGCTACTCGCCGCTTGCGCCCTCCTTTCAGCCAAGGAAGGTCGCTTCCGTTTACGGCTTAAAGATCTCTCCCTAGATCATTACGCCCATCCTAAAAGGTGGTGTTTAGTGGGTAAAAGTCCTCCACATAACCACACAGCCGGCTGCGTGGTATGCTATGAGCATTCACTACCTCCTTTCCCCGTTACCGGAGGGTTGCCCTTATTTGCATCGGGCGCAAAAAAGAACTTAGAGCAGTCTGACTCGGATGGTCGTAAGGACTCGTAAGGTCAGAAGGCTATGACCCGATTTCACCAAACTATTCTTATTAGCCATTAACGAATGTACTGTTAAAATTGACGTCGACGTCAAAAAGGTTTACTTTCTATAGAAGGATCCTAGCAAGGCGTTGCTAAATCAAATATCAAGTAGAAATTATCTTTGATCAAGTGAACAAAAATGACCGGTTTGACATGTCATTCTCTCACACTTCACTCTCGTTATTACGCAGGCAAATCAAAATGTCATGGCGCCTATACAAAATATTCCGTAGACAGTGTAATTCTATATTGGTTATCTAGAACGTCATATGTTTTCGGTTTCACGCTTGTAGATGTTGTTTTGTGGTGGTTTTTAATTCTATCAATTAGTAATATAACTTAAAATATTAAAAATTAAAATTTAATGTCGAAAAAAAGTAGCAGCCCTAATTTCTGCGCTAGTGAAAAGAAATTTTAATAGAACTTATCCTAAAATATAAAGATGTCGTAGAAAACAAAAAAAAACAGATGCAGTGACGATTGCTCATAAAAATGAGGGTTGGAAGGTGCTCACGGAAGAATTCAACTCTCTGAGCAGTTTCAATGTCCGAAATACGGATCAACTTAGAACGTGTTGGGATAACCTTAAAAGAACGACAAGGAAAAACAAAGCTGCCACAAAGAAGGAGATTTTCTTAACAGGAATGATCTATTTGTAACTTACGAGTAATAACACGTTATACTTTCAAAAATCCTAGCGCAGTAATAATTTATGACCTATATATATTTCGAATACTTAACAATTCTTGACTGTAAACTCTCACCAAAATTCATTCAGTGGTTTCCAAGTCTGCGAACAGACAAGTGATTGTAGTGATGCCTTATGACTACTTACGCTCCTTTTTAATGTTTACACTGTTTCATAATCTATACTTTGCTATTTCTAGGAGGCAGGCTCAATCATCTACCACCAGGGCCATTTCAAGGGCAATTAGAAATATTACTTGGCCCAACATTGGATGGTCTTGCAAACTAATTTGATAGTGATGGTAAATTTCAATAGTCCGTCACAGCATCTAATAAAGTGAAGGAAGATTCAGCAGAAGTATTACCGACCATTGTATTATTAGATGCAGTACCTGGCTGTTCAACTGTGGTAATTATAAACATACTAGCCAATTCTCTATGTCCTTATTTAATGTATAATAGTGTATTCAACACATAACATGTGCATAAAATCCCCTTAGATACTTATTATAGTACATTTACATGGATGAGTTTAACTACTACCTTAATTATAACTGAAACATATTTAAAGTGGATTTTCAGATTAGCCAAAACATATTTTGTTTTATGATATATAAAAGGTATTTGAATATGGATAGTTTTCATTTGTTTATTATATATATATATATATATATATATATATATATATATATATATATATATTATATTTTTTTTTTATTATTTTCAGATTGACCAAGTTGGTTCCTCGGGACTGAATAGCTTTCAGGCAGAATCAGAGAAGTTAAATAAGGAAGCAATTGATGGCTCAAGTCGTCGTGATGTTCAGGTAACTATCTCATTACAAATATTTATCACTTTTTCGTCGCACCCATGGAAGATGGCCTAGACTACAGATATCATGGATGAATGATGGAATATAATAAAACCTTCTTTTCGTTTTAGGATAAGGATAATATTTGGCATGGTTGGTCTCCAGCTGCACTTAAAACCAAAATGTCGGATGCACTAGTTACAAAAAAAGGGGAGCCTAACATGGCTTCGCAGGAGAAGACAAAGACCAAGGGCTTCAATAGCTGACAGTTTACTGACTAGCAAGTTAGAGCTAGTTGAAATTTTGAAAAAAAATGCACAACTTGAGGCTGAGAAAAAAATGTATTGCTCGATGAGCAACTTAAACATGAGAAAATAAAAACGGAACTGTTATAATTACAGTTATCTTTAGCAAAAAATGTAAATAAGAAATAAGAAGGAGGTTACACCATAAAATGACTTTTATTTATAATGATTGTAAATGCAAACTTCTGAATTAATCATTAATAAGACTTCTGCGCTCATTGTTTTTGTCTCTGTTTATGATATCACTATATCTGTGCTCTCTAATATGCCCTTGTTCTAGGCATTAAATCTTCCCAATGAGCAAGTAGTTTTATTTCCGGATCATCAGATGGCAAATCTTCATTTGCTTTTATTAAGATGTTGTGCAACACAGCCGTAGCAACAATTATAGGGAGGCAATTTTTAACTGTACTTGTATACCCAATGCAAGTACTGGGAATCGACGTTTCCATACTCCAAATAGGCGTTCAATGGGGTTCCTGCTTCTTATTTGAGATTTCTTGTACAATCTCTCCTCTGGGGTTATTGGATTCTGCAGTGGCATCCTAATGTATTGTCGGTTCATATAACCACTGTCTGCTAAAAGAAAGGCATCACCGTATCGACCACTTCAAATATAGTGCGTCTGTAGGTTCCGTTCCAAATAGTTTGATCTTGGCTATTTCCTGGCCATATCGTCACCAAATCTAAAATTTCTAACTGAGAATTTCCCATAGCTTGCATATTTATAGACATGTAGCCTTTCCGCGAAGCTTTACACGTCAATTTATATCGGTTATACTAATCCTCTCTCTTTCTAACTTTACTGTTATCAAGACATTAGAACAAGGATGCAATAAAAGTCTAGTCTAAAGGTCACAATACCATTCAATATGCCATGCTTATTTTAATAGTGACACGAGACGCCTACACACGCGTGGATCACGACGCGGTAGAGGCGTGCGCGTCCGTGGTGGGAGAGGAGCGGCGAAAGTCGTGGCTAGGGCTGAGGTGGCTGGGGTTGCGGTGGTTGCCGCTTGCGGTCGCGGGAGTCGAGGTGGTCGAGGACGCCGTGGCCTGTATAATGCCAGACCAGGGCCTTACACAATTGATGAGTTAGCATGCTTTTTTTAACTAATTAACCGCTCGATTACTTGCCTAAAAAAATAGGGAGCTTACTTTGCCAGTAGGTCGGGACATTGTTTCGCACATTCGACCCGCCGCCGTCAATAAAACTTAATTTATGACTTACTCGATAGGAGCACTTCAAATATTTTAAATGTTATGCATAGCCATTGAAAAAAGAAAAAAATTACTTACGTTATTTTATCAAAGTATGATTATAATAATATTTTAGAGGTGTTGAAATCACAAGTACAAGCTATTTTAGCGACTCTTTGTAAAACATTGGGTTTAGTAAAAAATAAAATCGATATGTGGGTGATGATTCATTATATCCCTAAGCTTAATCTGTAAAAGCTTGACGAATCTAATTGGATTCTCAAAATGTCACTTTGTATTCTTTTTTAAATGTTATTTATAATACACAACACTAGTTTACAAAATTGAACTTTTTTATACCCCAAAATAAATGTATATAAATATGTTAATATACATTCCTTAAACCTAAAAGTGTTAGCAGAAATATTTTATCACGTCCCAATTTCTTCCTGCAGTTCAATGTTTTTTTAACTACCTAACATGGTGACGACAGTTTATTGTTTATTTGTTTACTTCAAACGGCAATTATTTTGTTTCAGATTGATTTAAAATGTCGAGTAGAAAGTGTTAACAAAATTATTATCGATTTTGTTATGTTTGTGGACAGTTTATATTTTCAAAAAAGACAAGACCCATTGTAGATTCGTTAAAAAGTGCATATTTTCATTATTTTGGATTTCCTGTTGCAAATCAAGATAAAAAGCGGGTGCCTCATGTGTTTTGCGAAAGCTGTAGAATTGTTTTATTCCGGTGGTAATCTGGAGAAAACGTTCACCTTCTATTTGGTTCACCAATGCTACGCTGTGTTGGGATTGCAGGGTGGTTACACAAAATACTGATGTGTCCTTTGTTTGTGGGAGAGTAAAGCTAAACAACATCATCTTGTTAGAAAATAATGGCCTATTTGGAATGAGTATATTCCGAGGAAAATGAAAATTAAATACGAGCTGTTGGTAGATCCCAATAACATCACTAACCCTTTACACATCAAATTGGGGCTCATGAAAAATTTTGTGAAGGCGCTTGACAAAAACAGTGATGCTTTCCGGTATTTTCGAAAAGTCTTTCCAAACATTACATAGGAAAAACTGAAAGAGGTTATATTTGTTGCCCCATAAATCCGTAAAATTATGAAAGATTCTCAGTTTGAAAGCCTTTGATCTGTTAATGAAAAATCTGCTTGGAAGTCATTCAAAATGGTTGTAGGATTTTTTTTGGAAAATAAAAAAATGAAAATTGCAAAGAAATTGTTACCGATTTATTTAAAAATTTTCACATGTCATTAAAGATTCATTTTTTGCACTTGCATCCGAGTTTTTTCCCTGAAAACTTAGGAATTATGAGTGACGAATAAGGGGAATGTTTTCACCAAGATTTAAAGGTTTTAGAAGAACGACATCAAGGATTTCGGGATGAAAACATGTTAGGGGATTACCGCTGGTCCACTATAAGAGAAACTAATACAAATAGCTACAAAATTATATATTTAAGTTAATAAATATTTCTTAAACTAGACGTGACAGAATTTTTTATTATTTTTTCTGGATAAATCTACATAAATGAATAACAAAATAACAACTTTCAGCTGGGGTATGAAAACCGTGTAAACTAGTGTAATTTTCTAAAAATTTTATTAGAATTAGTCTCGGTACTAAATTAATCTTCAATAAAATAAGATTATTTAGTTCAAATGACTAGTTTCCGCCATGATGCGTCGTATTTACTACAGTATATTTCTATGCCGTGTGAGTGACACTTGCCCTACTGTATTATTTTTATAATTTGAAAGTGTTTAACCATTTATGAAAGTTTGTTGAGTTTTTTTTTTATACAAAGTGTAAGTAATTACACTGTTTTTTTTAAATTGCTTATATTTCGTTATTTAATAGTTTTTATTCAATTTATAAAATTAGCATTCAAATACCGTCGTTCACGTACGAAAAAAGTACTCAGAATTAATTGAAAATGCAATATAAAGTGTAAATAATCACCATAAATCATGAAAAAAACATAGAAACTCATATTTTATACAGTCCAATGTGCAAAAATGACGTTTTATATTATATTATAATTTCGATATATCGTGAAAATTATGGCAAAATTGTTTTCAACAAAAATGGCGTTGCTCAAAAAACAATACATAAACAACAAATAAATATATACCTATGATTCATTTTATTTCGATTTATTAGAGTGTATATTATTACGGTGTCGATATAATTTTATGTTATATGTATATTTCATTTGTTTACGAAATTTCGAGTGTTTTTTTCTACATAGTAGTTAGATATTTGAGTGTAGTAATTTAGTATTTCCTAATTCATATATATAAATTTTATAAACTTTGTCTTCTTACTCTTTTCGATTTTCATGAAGACACAAAATGTTCACATGTGTGTACTACATACAATTTCAGAAAAATAACGAAATTTGATATTTTATGGTGTGACTCAGGCGAGGGCAATCTCAGCAAAGAAGAGGAAGAAATATTTTCACATAATAATGTTTATTATAATTATAAATATGAGTGCATATAGTGGTTGTACAACGCAACTGCTGGTTATGAGATCCCGGGTTCAAATTCTGAGTCGGGTCAATAAAATTATTTAATGAGTTTTTCCGTCAAAAAAATCCCAGTATCAGCCCAGAGTCAGGAAGTTGGCGCTGTCTCACCCCCGTACCTCCAAAAGCATGTACAGCCATTGGTCCTGCGCATGATCTCTCTCCTGTCATGTTGGTTTACCGCCCCGTATTTATATACCATTTGTATTAAAACAGCCTATAAATTATCTACACTTATCATATAACTAAAACATGAAACACATCTATGAAAAGACTCTGGTTTTTCTCATTTACTAATTAAAAGACAGCAGTGTTATTCTGGTCAATCCAACTCATGACCATAAAAATATGTTATAACAGTTGGGCTGAAAAGTTCGTATCGTTTTATAGAAAAACACATTTTTTTGGCAAAATTCGATTTTATTATTCAACATAGTTGCCATCGAGGGCGATACACCGATTATAGCGATCTTCCAACTTTTCAATACCATTTTTGTAGTACGTTTTGTGTTTAGCCTCAAAATAGGCCTCTGTTTCGGCGATTACTTCCTCATCGGCTTTAAATTTCTTTCCAGCGAGCATTCTCTTGAGATCTGAGAACAGGAAAAAGTCGCTGGGGGCCAAATCTGGAGAATACGGTGGATGCGGAAGCAATTCGAAGCCCAATTCATGCAATTTTGCCATCGTTTTCATCGATCTGTGACACGGCGCATTGTCTTGATGAAACAACACTTTCTTCTTCTTCAAATGGAGCCGTTTTTTCGCGATTTCGTCCTTCAAACGCTCCAATAATGCTATATAATAGTCGCTGTTGATGGTTTTTCCCTTTCCAAGATAGTCGATGAAAATTATTCCATGTGCATCCCAAAATACGGACGCCATATCCTTACCGGCCGACTGTTGAGTTTTTCCACGCTTTGGATTCGGTTCATCGCGTGCAGTCCATTCAGATGACTGCCGACTGGACTCCGGAGTGTAGTGGTGGATCCATGTTTCATCGATTGTCACATATCGACGCAAAAAATCACTTCTATTGCGGTTGAACAGCTCCAAACATTGCTCTGAAGCATCGACACGTTCTTGTTTTTGGTCGATTGTGAGCACGCGCGGCACCCACTTTGCACATAGCTTTCGCATACCCAAATATTCATGAACGATATGTCCAACACGTTCCTTTGATATCTTTAGAGTACCAGCTATACAAATCAACCTCAATTTACGATCTTCCAAAATCATTTTGTGGATTTTTTTTATGTTTTCGTCCGTAACAGCCTCTTTTGGACGTCCACTGCGTTCGTCGTCTTCGATGCTCATATGGCCTGTACGGATTTGGCAAACCACTTACGAATGGTTGCTTCACCCGGCGCAGAGTCCGGATAACACTCATCAAGCCACTTTTTGGTATCAGCAGCACTTTTTTTCATCAAAAAATAGTGTTTCATTAAAACACGAAATTCCTTTTTATCCATTTTTTTCAAAATAACAAAAGTTGCTTCACTCAAAATGCTGTATCTCACAAACTAATAATCAGACAGCTGTCAAATTTATACACGTTTCTTTTGAAGGTTGGTACTACCTAAAAATGATATGGATTTTATTCTAGTGGCGCCATCTCATAGAGACGATACGAACTTTTCAGCCCAACCAATATGTGTATCTAAAATGTCTCATCTTACTTGTATTTCAGCAGCAGGATATGCAGGGGGACTTCAATAACTGCAATGAGGTTATCCTACTGGCCATGTTTGATGTACATGGACAGCAGTTGGAGTGTCCAAATCTCCCTTTAGGACCCGCACATTCCACTGAGCCAGCACAAGTAAATCCGCCGTTACCAGTGTCACCATCTTTTTCGTAAGTTAATTTTGTTATTATGTTTATATTAAAGCTTTTTCAAAAAAGTGTGTAAGTAGAAGCTACCACAGTTTTTAAACTTTGTCTATATTGAATGAAAACTCTTTACTCTTATAAATTAGAGATATGAAACAGCCTCCGTCTTGGGAACAACGAGTTAGAAACCCAGCGAGACTTTTGGTGAATAGAATTAATTTACAATATTTTTTATAGAATAAAATTAGTATGGTAGCAATCTCCTCATTCCCAAGGATTATTATCAATCATATACTCTTAAGTAGTATAATAACCTTTACTAAACAAATTTTGCTTACTAAAATTTTAAACTGATTGATAAGGTCTTATATTTTCTGGGACTTTGTTGTAAAAATATATACCTACGTTGCCCCATGAAGGAATTATACTGACTCTGGAGTCTAGAACTGTTGTAACTAGTTAATATTTTCATCTTTGATTCTATTTAATTAATTTATATATAATTATTCTAGTGCATACATTTAATTTATATTTAATAGTTTATAGAAGCCGTGGTAGCTGGGATGGTCAGTTGGTTAGTTTCATAGTATTAACTCTTATTTGAATAGATAGTTTTATCATTAAGGGTATTTATGTAGCAGTAATTCATTCAAAACGGATATTTAATTTAGAATGTATCACAGGTATAAAAATGCAATACACGAACCGTTTGACGCCACGTCGCTGAGACGTTCCCTACTCTATGGAATATTTTAAGGACTTTCACTGGCAGATAACTGGTGTTATAAGGAATAATTAGGGTTCTGCACAAATAAATTAAAACTCAAGAAATCTAATGGTCATAAATTAATACGCAGGCAAGTCGCGGGAACAGCTAGTATTACATAAAATACGTATGAACTAAATTATGTTATATAATTTTTATATTTGTCTTGCAGGCGAAAAAAAAGGTCGTTGAGCGGTTACATGAAGAGCGGCAACGATTACTTGTTGGCGGACCAGCATGAACTATATCACGAGGAGGTAGTGGCGAGTTCGAGTGGTGGTGCTGTGCGAGGCGTGCGGTTCCCAGCGACGGCAGTAGCAGACGATCAGAATAAATCGTTTCGGAAAACCGCCACTCATAACTGACAAGGAAGGATCAAAAAAAGATAGGGGATATACTGATCAAGTTACGAATAATACTAAAGATGTGGTTGTTATCAAGTGGATTGACAACAAAGGTGTAGTACTTGCTTCAAATTTTGTTGGAATAGGAAATCAAGATGAAGTTCGACGATGGAATAAAATATCTAAAAATTACGTAACTATACCGCGTCCTGAACTTGTGGAATTATATAACAATGGTATGGGCGGTGTAGATAAAACTGATCATCTGATTAGTTTGTATCGAATCTTAATTAGATCCAAAAAATGTACATTGCGTATGATATTTCGCGCAATTGACCTAGCACTAACCAATAGCTGGCTGGAACACCAAGAAGATTGCAAAATCTGTAAGATACCAAGTACAGACGTTTTGGATTTGTTGCACTTTCGGCAGCGCGTTGCCGAAGCTCTAATAAAAATGGGGTATCCAATTCCTAGCAGAAAAAGAGGACGGCCCGCATCTGGTGGTAGCAGTCCAGTAAATTCACCAGTTACACCAAAACAACACCGTTTCAGGACTGAAATAAGACCAGCGAGCGAAATCCAGTATGACACTGTCGACCATTTGCCAGAATATGATCAAAAGAAAGAAGCTACAAGATGTAAAAATGGATGTAAAGGAAAGACGCATGTTTACTGTCTGAAATGTGAAATACAACCGTGTTTTACTGGTGAGCGAAATTGCTTTCGAAAATTTCATCAAAAACAAGAATAATCCTAACAGTGGTAAAATGTTAAATAAAAAATAAACTATTATAATAATGTTACATAGTTACATAGTAGTATTACATACTCCTGAAGAGAGTATAATATCCACCACATTCCCTTTTAAAAATTAAACCTGTTTTTTATATTTAGTACTCCAAATTAACCCTAAATTGCATGACTCAATTTGTGAATGTTATGTACACTTGTAATTGATATACATATCAGAGAGTATAGAAATGTGTATGTTTTCGTGATTGTTATATATGTGTATTGTAAGTGTGCTTGTTAAATAAAATAAAAATAAAAAATAAAATAAATAGTTTTACTGACTTACTTCAAAATATTACTACAAAACATTTATTCATTAAATATGTATTAATACGACACTCTAAACCTGATGTCCACTTGAGTGGACATCAAAATTTTCAAAAATCTGAAAACGATAAATCGCATATTTTTACAAAAATCCCTTAATTACACTTCTAACTCACAGAAAAACAATATTTTTATTGATGCTTTATATAAATTCAGGTCCGAAGGGGTTAATTCAATCAAAGAGAGTATTAAGAGTTGAATTGAAAAAGTCACATATTCTTAAGAAATATGTTTAAAGAATCTTTAGCTAGTTCAAACCGGGTGCAGTACTGGATGCTGTGTGATTTGGTATAGGAAAGTATTTGTATAGAAAAATTGAACAGCATTTATGTCCGGTACTGTACATTTTCCCTAAAAAATGAATCGATTTTAAAATATTGTTGATGTGTTATGGATTTTTTCAAGCAGACTATACCTGTCAACTTTCAAGTCGCTGACTGCTTTGACACTTAGTTTCGCTGTTTCTGTCGGTCCTGTCGGTTTCTGCTTTTTCTTTCGTTCTATGACTGAGTTCTATTTTTCTATTAATTTGTAAAGCTGCTTTATAAAAATTGAAGGAGATGAGGAAGACGTGGCGAGTATTAACTGCGTATCACGCAAAAAGCAAATTAAGGGATGAAGCAAGTGGCAAGTTCAAGATTACAAGTGAATGACATAAAAAGTTGTTTGGATTTGGTTTTGAATATTTTACTTAACATATTCATGTTTGTTAGCAAAAGTTTAACATTATTTATTGTTTTGTTTTAGATATAAAGATAAAGACCCTTCTAAAACCCCTTATGTCTTAGTTTTTCGTCTCTTGTGTGCACAAATCTTCATCGATCTTCAAGTTCACAAAACTGAAAGAGCAAGATATCTCCCGGAATCGAAAACTGTTCTACAACAATAAAGGGAAAGTTATCAAGACATCTACATTTGTCGCCTCAGGACGTCCCTTTGCCGCCAAAGGAAAAAGACTGATTCAAAAAGCAATAAACCAAAGCCACGAAAGTTTTCGGCTATTTTTTATTTATAGAATAAAAACAAAAAAGCAGTAAGTGTGCAAGGCTTTTTTTAAGAAAGCCTTTAGTGGGTGAAAAGGTAAGTTTGCCCATAAGGTGTGGCAAAGTCCTTAAAGGGTCAAGAGGTGGAAACCGAAAATCCAGTCTTTAGAAAAAATAAAGTGTCTGTGATTTTTTTAATTTGCCAGTGAAGGAAAATAACTTAGAAGCAAACCTATCAGAATGTATTTATCGTATCGAATGAATTGAACATAACTAAAATGTGAAAATTTTACAATGATTCTGTCGACGCTCAACTAAAGGTGAAAAAATGGTACTTTAGGAACATTTTTGTCACACCGTTTAACATGGGTTTCTCATCTCCAGCGTAAACATGTAATTTATTGATCAATAAAATTAAAGCTAAAAAAGATCCGCAAAAGAAACAGTATCACATGACAGAGAAAAAAGAGTACACAAGTTGAGAGCAAATGCTTTTTACCAGTTATTGAAACAAAAACATGACAATTCTTGCTCCTTTTGCTTTAACTTGCAGTAAGTCATGCCCTTTACCGAAAACACCAGTTCAAAAGCAAATAATTTTTTATAATTTTTGTGTTGTGAATGTGGATGGGCCCTCCCATCCAGCCCAGATTTTTATTGCTGGTCTGAAGACGTGGCTGGAAGAGGTTCAGTGTAAGCAGGTTCTGCCTTGTTCAATCATTTAAAGTCTCAAGCAGAATGGTTCTTTAGAAAACATAGACAGCATCCGCATGTATTGTGACGGATGTGGTGGTCAAAACAAAAATTCATTTATTATTGACACTTATGTTCTGGTTAGCCAAAGAGTCACCTCCATCAATAAAAGAAATTTTGATTGTATATCCTGTTCGGGGACATAGTTTTTTACCAGCCTATCGTTTGTCTTGGCGAATAGAAAAAGATCTCAGAAAAGTGATAATGGTAAAGACTAAAGAACATTATCAAAAAATAATATCTCAGCATGGCAGAGTAAAATTTTTGGGTAAAGATTGGAATTACTATTAGTTCGGTCAATTTAGACATAAAAATAGTGGTTAAATAACAAAAATTCCGACAGAGCCAAATTTTGGTGGAGACCTACTGTCTTACTACAAAAAAGTTAGACATCTGTTCAACACGTGTTTATGAAATGAGTTACTACAAAAGAGTGTTTAACGGTGGTTTATGGATAGGCAAGGCTTAGACGTTATTTAAATTTAAATAGCCGCAAACCCTTGTTTAACTAGTATCTAACCTATCTTTTCCGTCATTTCAGTATTTTTATTTAACATGGATATAATTGATTTTGTCGATTACTTCGATGAAGACGACATGGATAACTATGCGGAAATGTTCCGAGAAAGTAATACGGTTCGTGTGAGGGTTAATCCGTTTGAAAAATATGACGACACCAAGTTTAAGAAGAAATATAGGTTCAGCAAACTTTTTGCTATAAAAATATTAGATCTTGTGAAAAACGATATACCGAGTGATTCTCGTGGTAACACAATAGACCCAGCAGTGCAAGTGGCTTGTGCATTACGGTACTGGGCTCGTCATCAAGTAAGTTCGATTCATACAAAATTAAACTATGCTTACGTGTGGCGTCGGTAGAGAAGAATAGCTTCACCCATCACCTGTATGTTTACCTATTATTTGCAATTTTATTTCGGATACAAGATGACAGTGGAGATATGCATGGGATTTCTCAGCAATCAGTGAGCAAAATCGCTTATAATGTTGGGAAAGCATTAGCTAAAAAAGCTCATTTATTCATCAACATGCCCACTACACTAGAAGATCAACAGGAAACCATCAGAGGATTTAGAAGTATATGTAATTTACCCTCGGTGATAGGGGCTATAGACTGCACGCATATACGAGTCAAAAGGGTAGGTGGCGATATGAGTGAAGCCCATGTGAACAGAAAGGGTTACTATTCTATCAACGTGCAAGTTGTCTGTGATTCAAACTTGAAAATCCGAGACATAGTTGCACGTTGGAGAGGAAGTGCTCACGACTCTCGGGTTTTCAACGAAAGCACAATAAAAGAACGCTTTGAACGTGGCGATTTTCATGGAAGATTACTTGGAGACAGTGGATATGCATGTACTGCATATCTCTTTACACCTTTGCTTAATCCTAGTAATGACAAAGAGGAAGCTTACAACAGAGCGCACATTAGAACAAGGAATACAGTGGAGAGATGTTTTGGCTTGTGGAAACAAAGATTCAGATGCCTATTAAGAGGCATGTTTATGAAACTAAGCACAGCGAAAACCACAATTGTAGCATTAGCAGTGCTACATAACATAGCGATTGATATGAATGAAGACATTGATATAGTTCGGTATGTTCGTCAGCGGCGCAGGCCACAGACTGAGAGATCTACAGTTAGGGGAGCAATTATTAGACAGCGTTTTATTAACCAATTTTTAATATAAGAAATAATAAAAAAATAATGTATGAAAATGTATAATAAAAAAATTAAAAAAAAATGTAAAATTAGTCCTTATATTCTAGTTTTTTTTTTTAACAATTCTAATTCCAATTTCTTTTTGTCTCTTTCTAATATTAATATTTCAATTTCCAGTTTATGCCGCAACTGCTGATGAGCTATTTCTTGTTCTTGAAATTTTATTTTTAATTTATGTTCTTCTTCCAACATTGCTGAAGCCCGTTCCTTAAATTCTATATTGCTTCTTAATAAAGCTTCCTTGCCAGCCCTGTAACAGACATGATTTACTTATTTAATTAAAAACCGTTAGGCTCAACGAGATGTTAGGCACCTATTTACTAAGTAGATAGTACCATTTTAATGTTCTTTGTGTAATGTACTTATTGTATTGTATTTATGAGAAGAGAAATGATTTATATATATTTATTTTTATTATTGAAATCAAAATATGAGAAGTCATCATACATACATACATACATACATACAATAATGTCTTTTTTCTCATAATTCTCCTAATAATGGTTGTTCATAGATACAACAGGGCAGTGTGAATCATTTATTAAATGATACTTACAAAACATGAAAATATAGTAAAGTAGATCATAAAAATTATATACAAATAATCTACTTACAACTTATTTGTTTTCTTTTCTCTAATTTGTTTCTTGTCCACCTTTGGAGGAAACATCATTTGTGTTTTTCTGCTGCATTCAGGCATCTTGATATCAATCTGAGTGAATAATGATTTTCATTAAGTTTTATTTATAATTATAAATAAATTATAACTATATTTGTTCTACACGGTAGAGCCATGCTGCAGTTATATTAATAGTATAGTCGTAGCACGAATGGGTCAGCTCGACCGGGGAAGGAGCACACTCTCACAGAATACCAGCGTGAAATAGTAGCTTAATGCTGCTGTGTTTCGTATGGTGAATGTAGAGAACCTGAGAACCTTTTTGCTAGAAAATAGGCGTTCCATCTTAGTCTTCACGGATTACAACTCATCTGCATTCGATGAATCGCATACAAGGGTAGATGTAGATGGCTATGGGCCACATTAACCGCTTACCATCGGTTGCACTGTGTGCTCGTTTGTCACCCTATCCTATAAAAAATAACAGTATGAAGCACCACATTTTTTTTCAGGTAAACTCACCTCTTCGCTATGCACATTTGCCACTGTAATCATTTGCTGTTCAGCTGGTTCCTCTGCTGGTAGAATTTCATCCTTTGGAAATAAAAGATTTATTTATTTATTTAAAAATGAGTAATAACATATTTAATCCAAAACTAATAGTATTCATACACACCTCGTCTATATCATACAATGTGTTGTTTTGCTCTTCAGTTCCTCCAAGAACTATAACTTCACCCTGTAAATTAATAAAAGTTAATAAAGCAAAGTTGCATCATTATATTTGGTACATACAATTCAAAAACTTACGTGTTGTGGGACCGCATCGCTGTCATAAAGATTTTCTTCTATAAAAAAATCTGTTGGGCATAGTTCCACTATCTTTAGGTGATCATCACCTGGCGATGTTGGCCTTTGTCCACCACCAGTAGCTTGCAAAGCTCTTCTATGTTGTGCCACAGATTTCTTTGCAGCCACTTTTGTTCGTCTCCAGAAACCCTTTAACTGGGTGATCTCTCTGGATTTCCCAGTGAGTTCCTTAAGACTGCAATAAAAAAGAATACCAATTTTATTATTAATTTAACCTTCTTAAAAATATATTTTGGTGTAAGAGAAAAATATAGACTTATCATCTATTTGATCAACATCTATACTAACTAAACAAATCAGTCTGACCACACAATTACCTCTTTTGTACTCTAATCCACTCCAGATTCTTTCTTTTATTTGTATTAGTGTCGGTAAATTTACTCTCTATAATAGGCGCTGACTCCCTCATTATTTCCAAAAACAGATCCTGAAAGTAGTAAATATTTAGGTAATTAAAAACGTAACAAACAAAACAAGCAGTGTTATTATTATATATTCTTAATAATTAGCTCATGCGGCTTAAAAAACTAGACCAACTTCCTAAAACGAATAAGCGTAACTAACCTTTTCCTCTTGAGTCCAATTTTCGCCTCGAGCACGATTCTTTTGATTCTCAGGCGCAATATTTCCTTTCGACTCCATTATTTAATACGATAAAAGTGAACACAAATTAAATACAGCGAAACAATTTACAAACACGATGCAGGCAACGGTCGCGGACGCTTGTTTGACAACTGACATTGAGCATTGACATCTATACAAAGATGGTTGCGTTTGACATAATTTCACATTTATCTTCATCTAACTGCCAAGCATAACTGATATGTTTTTGTTAATAAATAATATATTTAATGAATTTTTTTACAAAGAATATAGATAAACATATATATAGCTTTTTTATTATTGAACTTTGAGACAAAACAAAATTTAATTTTTATGTAGTTAGTCGTATTAATTTGCGTAAAATAAAACGAATGATCGAATGCTGAACGAATGTATTGCAGTGTGACCTGGAGAATAAAGTTGAACGTTGTCTATAGAGGCACGCGTTAAACACGGTTTAGTGGTAGCGAAATTTAAACCATTGTTTAACATGTGTTTATCATTTAAGTCCGTTTTTAACTAAACACATGTTGGACCAGTGTTTAAATGCTTTTTTGTAGTACGACTGCTAGAGTTTACCCTAAAGAATAAATATTTAAAATTCCCCATCAATATCATGTGAGCTCAGAAAGTTATTCGGGGTCAAATGTCGAAATTTCAGGATTTTTTGATTTTTCTCGAAAACGGTAAGTTCAAAACAAAAATACTGCAGACAAAGTTGTAGATCTTAAAATTCTCTACAAAAATGGTCTTTATAACTTTTTCTCTAAGTATCACCGTTACTGAGATTACACGATTGTAAGAGTCAGTCAGAGTTGGTGAAAAATCACACGTATCAGTGTAGTGACAGTCAAGTTATACAGCAATGGATAAAAGAATACCCGGAACGAGCCTGGAACAGACAAAGCGAGACAAGGTATATACAACGCAAAGCCTCTACATGGACACAGACACCATAACAAAACTCTTCATAGTGCACACTTATAATTTAGAAAACTCAAATGGCGAAGAGTATTTAATACGGCTAAGGAAGTGGATGGACGGGGTAGATGAAAGTGGAGTGAATAGATTGGTTTTTGTCTCCGGACCCGAACCTCATATTCCAATATACAGAACTCGTCTGCATATCAGCAATGATGTATCAGAGAGAAAACTCTCCAGCATTGCACATAGCGGTGCTAGAGTTGTCTACACAACTTACAATGGGCATGAAAACGTCGGAGTAACCAGAGTTTCAAGGGGCACATTCAACGACGCCCAACTTAGAAGCTCCAACAACCGTGGTGAGTTAGTGAAAGAAGTGAGCGCGTTCGGCTTACAGCTTACAGCGAGTAGGCACGACCATAGCTGCGAGCACTCCTGAAAGGCCAATAATCCAAGAACTTCAACCATCGACGAGTAGAGAAGGAATCAGTGCCCAAGTTGAGAGAGGAGCAGAGGCGGTAAAAGCGAACAATGATGAGAAGATGCCCGACTACATGTGCGAGGCAATACGGAAGGAAATAGCCAAACGCATAAAGCTCTCGCCCGCACAAGTCGAACCAATGGAGATGGGGTTCACTTATTGTCAAGTGACCGTGACGAAATAAAAGTTTCTATATTCTACATAATATGCACGTATTTGCCACATATATACATATTCAGATGCTCAAGCAATCAAAAATACCTATTTGTGTCTCTTTTATGTATAAACTATATAAACTATATATATATATATATATATATATATATATATATATATATATATATATATATATATATATATATATATATATATATAAACATATATATATATATATATATATATATATATACAGGCTGGTCCAAACAGTGATGTTATAAATTTTTTTTTGATTCCTCACACCTAGGGGTATCCGAAAATACCCACCCTAAACAGCCTGGTTGTGCGGAAAACCATTCGTATTTTTATTTTATTCGAAGGTAGGCTTGCCAAGCGTTTTGTCCTTTCCATGACCTATCGTCCCACCGACAACACCGGGGTGGTGAGGTGAGAGGGGAAAGAAGAAAGTTCTAGAATGTCACGTGATTCTCGCAACCAACGAGAAGCGCGCCCCACCGAGACGTATTCAGAGAAGAACCGAAGCAATATAAGAGAGCGCACGGCCCTTGTGCGCTCTCCCTTTGGCCGCCAGTTGGAACCACACCGCCTAGGACAGTCGCGTCCTAGAGGGCTTTGCCCACGCGCACCGCTAGTTCAACCGCATTAGCCTGGAGCAGTCGAGCTCCGGGAGTAACCTCTACTACCTCGACTATACCTCACCTCGTGTGAGATATAGTCGCGCACCGCTCTCTTCCATCGCACCACTGACCAGGACCACATCCCTGGGGCCCCAGGAGATCCGCCAGAAGTCGCACCGCAGCAACAAAGCGTCCAAGCCGCATCGAAGTAACACCCCGGGGTAAGTGCGCTTCCTTATTTACGTCATTTACGTAAAGGATTCCTACCATTTTGTCAGCGAGATTAAAGACCTGCGTCTGGCAGACAATGAAACTATGGTCAGTTTTGATGTGCAGTCATTGTTTACATGCTTACCTGTTGAAGACTGAATCTCAATTGTAACTAGAAGGCTGGAAGAAAACAACATGCCCGTAGAATATGCAGTAATACTCAGACACTGCCTTACATCTGGCTACTTATTGTGGAAGGAGGAGTTCTACAAGCAAGTAGATGGTGTGGCGATGGGCTCACCTGTATCTCCCATTGTCGCCGACATATTTATGGAAGACTTTGAGGAGAAAGCCCTGCTTACTTCTCCCATAAATCCAAGATTCTACAAGCGGTACGTAGACGACACTTTCACAATTCTACCTTTAGATAAAGTAACTGCATTTTTAGACCATCTTAACTCTATAAATTCTAAAATTCAGTTCACAATGGAGTTAGAAGCAAACAATTCCTTAGCTTTTCTAGATGTGTTAGTAATTCGGAATCCTGATAACACCTTGAGCCATACTGTGTATAGAAAAAAGACCCATACAGATAGATATTTAAACGGTGATTCTCACCACCATCCTTCACAGTTAGCTACCGTGGGTAAATCTTTGTTTCAGAGAGCACGAGGGATCTGTGACAGTAAACACCTGGCTGCCGAGCTCCAACATGTCAAGCAAGTCTTGCATGACAACAAGCTTCGGGTCCCGCGCCTACGTCACAGAGAACGAGTGAAGCCGGCCACATCGAGCGTGTACCTGCTGTACTGCCATATGTTAGAGGAGTCACTGACAAGATTTCATTTGATCAAAACATACTTCAAGCCGCCGAAGAAGATTGGTCAGTTTTTACCATCAGTCAAGTGTAACGTCCCTCTGCAAGATGCAGGAGTGTACAAGCTTGATTGCGAATGTGGTCTCTCCTACATAGGACAAACTAAAAGATCAATTAAAACCCGAGTCAAAGAATATATAGCTGATGTGAAGTATCGACGCTCCGGGAAGTCTGCAGTCTGTGAACATGTACAGAATCGCCGTCACTACATCGGATTTGATAGACCTCTAGAATCCTCGCTAAAGAACACCGATTCCTTCCAAGGATGATTCGCGAGGCTATTGAAATCAAAAAACATCCGAATTTCAATAGAGAAGATGGCTGGGTGCTACCATCTGCTTGGGATCCTATAATAAATAAAATTAAATCCCAACCCAAGCATACAACTGCAAGACTCCATGATACCATAAGTTCATGCTGTGTAGATCGGAACAAAAGTTAAATTTTAATCTATGGTAACCGCGGTTAACTATGACATCTGGACGTTTAACATCTCAGTCCTTCCCGTGACCATGGGTGCTGTAAAGCTCTCGAAACGTCGGGTATTAAAAAGTTAAATATTCGCGATAAATTCCGTAAAAACTAGTATTATTTCAATATTTACGTCCCTGCTTGAGTATTTGTGTTTTATTAGTTCATCCGCCCCAATTTCATTTCTCCTAATGTGATCAAGCAGGGTTCCTTCATGAAGCTTCGTAAGCAATAGGTTTTTTTGGAAGAGCGAGTGCATTGTCAAGGAACCGCATGCTATAGCCGCCATTTTGTTGAAGCAGAAGAAGCCAACCGCGTATACAGTCCATCTAGTATAACATCTCGCGTAGTAGGGTCAAGGCTCGACCGGGAAATTGTGACTCGGCAACCTTAAGGCCCGCCGCCTAACCATTTTCTGATCCTTCGGCCGGATTTGGACTGGTGCTTTATAGCCTCACCAACCATTGCTAGATTTATTTCATTTTAGATTAATTCCTTAGACAATGGACTCTAATTTAATATTGAATAGATTTAAATAGTGTTCGTTTAGTTTAAATTTAAATTTTGGTTAGTTATTCGCAAATAGAATTATTCATTTAAAATAGTTTAGTTGCGTACGGCTTATTCGGCCTACCCGACATTTTGTAAAAAACAGTGTGAGTTTAGCGACCGACACGCGTCACCTCGGCTCGTTGTAAAGGTGTTCAATTTAACGACGTAATACGGCACGATAAGACAATAGTGTTGTGAGATATAGTTGTATTACATTGCGTCCATCCATCAGCGTTGTGCGTTTAATTGTGATTAATCTAATATTAATTATAGTAATTTAAAATGGCAGTTAGTGGAAATTAAATTAAAATTAAAACTCTTTACGCCAAGAGGGACAAACTCTTCTCACGTATACAGTGTATAAGTGATCACATAAAGAAAATTAACGTAGAAGCAGTGCGGGAGACGTTTTTATGTGAAATCGAAACGGTGGACTCTTTGCGGACGGATTACGAAAAAATATTAGATCAAATTAATAATTTGGAAGTACAAATCGACCCTAAGTATACAGTAAACTACCAGCCGCTTCTAGCATTTAAAGACATGTGTCGCGTGAAAAGAACAGCGAAGCTCTTGCAGTCCCCATCTCAAAGCAAAGCAAAGCCGGAAGCCCAGGTACGCCCACGTGATTCACTCAGGTTGCCCCCCATAGATATTCCGGTATTCAATGGCGATATCAAAACATGGCCCTTCTTCTTTAGTAGTTTTCAAAACAACATACATAATAATCCATCGTTATCGAACGCTGAAAAATTATACTAATTAATTAGTAAACTGAGTGGTAGGGCACAGTCAATTTCCTCGGGTTTCACACCAACAGCAAACAATTTTTCATTAATATTTGAAACACTTAAGGACAAATATGAAGATAAGCGAATGTTAGCCTCTTCATATTTAGACCAAATATTCGATATTAAACCTATATCATCCGCGAACATCACCGGCTTAGAGCAGTTTTTAGATAAATTTGTAGCATCGGTGCCTGCACTTAAGAACTTGAAATTTAATGACCTTATGGACGTGGTGTTTCTCCATATTGCACTAAAGAAACTAGACCCCGACACCTACTAAAGAAAATCACACCTACTAAAGTCGACGATTCTAGCGGTGGACCTGGTGATGTCGCTCTGTGCTCATTGTCGAATATGGGAACACAGCCTCCTTCAACCGTGTTACTGGGTACAGCCCGTATCGTAGTTAGGGATTCGCGTGAAAACTAACAAAGCGTCCGTACATTGCTAGACAGCGGATCCCAAATTAGCCTTATAACGCGACAATGTTGTCAGCGCTTAGTTCCGTTTGCGCGCCGCCCCCGAGCGGTCGTGCATACAGTTCTTTCGCGCTCCGACCCCTCGGTAGCGCAACCGCTCGCCTGCGCGCCCCGCTCTTCCCGGCTAACACCGGCCGAACAGACGCCGTTGGTGAGTCACTTTGTTTTTCGCATCGTTCTTGCCCCCTTGCTCCGACGGGGAGGCTTGAGCGCGCTTTGCTTTGTTTTGTTTTATTTTTAATTTTTCTGTTATTGTTTTTGTTATACTGTTACTTGTTGTATATACTGTTCTTGGAAGATCGTCTCTTGCTCTTCTCAGAGCGAGCCCTTGTTCTTTTCAGAACATAGGGACCCCAGCTTCTGGGAATAGAACGTCAGTCCTCCCCATCTGCCCCCAAGGCCCTGTTCTTCTCAGAACAGGGACCTCTAGTTTCATAGAATAAATCGTCACCCCCCAGTCCAGATCAACATATCTTCCATAGACATAAGCACTCTCATGAGACAAGTTGCGGCCACGATCGTCCAAATGATCCAAGCCGCAGGAATACCCACAACCACCCAAATTGACGAGACCCTTCTTGCCAACGCCATTCCCCCCCCCCCCGCTGCCTCTAAGGCATGTGTACCCCCGCCCGCCGTCGCGGCTTTCCTCGCGACCCAAGCGGCTGCCCCGCAGACCGACTTGCCCGCGTCCCCCGACTCCGATATGGAGCACTCGGACACCACGTCCGTTACCTCCTCCTCCCGGAAGAGGACCGCCCTCATTTCGATCAGCTCCTCGGAT